CCCCCCCCCCTCTTTGGTAGAGTTGTGTCATAACTAACAGGTTTGTGCTGGGCTTGCCAGCATTCTGTGTAACTAAACTTGCCTCACAATGCTGAAACCTTGCCCTGGCGTGGGAAATCTCTCGCCACAGGTAATTCCAGCCAAGTTAGTGACGGCGCTGCTGCAGTTCTCCTGGCCAGACGTTCCAGAGCGTCCCAGCTGGGTCTTCCCATCCTCGGGGTCCTGAGGTCGTGTGCAATAGTTGGCGTTCCACCTGATGTCATGGGCATAGGACCAGCCTATGCCATTCCAGTGGCGTTGGAAAAGGCTGGTAAGTAAAGCTCAGGCCAGGGGTTGCCAGCCTTTTGGGGCCAATGGGCACATTTTGGACTTTGAGTAAGTGCTGTGGGCACCAGTCGCAAAAGGGCTGCCGTGGGGCATGGCATGACACACATAATGGAGAGGGCATGGTCTTTGCCTCTGTCCACCCCCCACCCAGAAAACCCGAGGCTTACAGTAGGAAGTCCACTATGTCCTACCGGTGGGGATCACAAATATTAATTTCATCAGCACAAACTGTGATGCCACTGATGCCTAGTAACAGGGAGAATTTACCAGTAGCAGGAAAAATACAGAAGGTGACTGTACTTCACTCACTTTCGTGGACAAACCTCACACAAACAAACCACGGACACACAAGCATCTCTAACTCTTGCCCACACACTTCACAGATATTTCTCCCTCTTTCTGCCCAAGTTCATTCTCTCTCTCTCTCTCTCTCCCTCCCCCCCCACCCCATGTTCATATTTCCCTCCCATATCTTTTGGGGGGGATGAGTCAAACACTGAAAGGGTGGAGCAGGCTAATTTCACTATGAATTGCAACAGTGGTGTTACGAATATTAACTGGAAAGGTTTACTTTGGCATCTTCTCTCGCTCTAACCTGCAGGTTTGACTGTGAAAGATATTGACATATTTGAAATCAACGAGGCCTTTGCTAGTCAGGTGAGATTTGCCCATTTTGTTGCACTTCATTTTTAGGGTGGGGTTTTCTCTGTATTGGGACCAAATGGTTTTAGGTCTCTTCCGGAGGTGATGGGCTTAGGTGAAAGCAAAAGAGCTCATCGCTTCTCTTGCAATGCATCTGTATTAAAAGCATCTTGGATAGATGAAAAATGCAAAAAAAGGGCTTTCTAGTCGCAATAATTAAGAGGTAGACTGCATTTAAGGTTCTCGTAGCCCCTGGATAATGGGCGTCCAATCCCTCAGGCCCACACATAATAGTTCCTGTATTCTACACACAGCCTGGTCTGAAAACGTGTGCATTTGTCTTTTATCAGGCTATTCATTCTTCCTTGCAGCGTCCCCTGCCATGGTCTCCCTTGATCTTACCCAACCGATTTGGCTTGAACTGGACTACGGGGCTTTAAGCAGTAGCGTTTCAGGGATGTGTGAAACCAGTTTGCACAGTGTTGCTGCAATTCATCCACCCTTCCCCATGGAACCCCTTTCAGGGCACTGGAAGTGGTAGAGGCGGCGGCAGCAGCACTGTGATGAGGGTGAAAGAATGGGTTTCACGCTCTTTGCTGTCGTCAGAGTTTTAATTGAAGGTCCACCTTCAGCAGGGACGCGGGTGGCGCTGTGGGTAAAACCTCAGCGCCTAGGACTTGCCGATCGCATGGTCAGTGGTTCGAATCCCCGCGGTGGGGTGAGCTCCCGTCGTTCGGTCCCAGCTCCTGCCCACCTAGCAGTTCGAAAGCACCCCTAAGTGCAAGTAGATAAATAGGTACCGCTTTATAGCGGGAAGGTAAACGGCGTTTCCGTGTGCTGCGCTGGTGCTGGCTCGCCAGAGCAGCTTCGTCACGCTGGCCACGTGACCCGGAAGTGTCTGAGGACAGCGCTGGCTCCCGGCCTCTAGAGTGAGATGAGCGCACAACCCTAGAGTCTGTCAAGACTGGCCGGTACGGGCAGGGGTACCTTTACCTTTAACACCTTCAGCATTGGGAACTGAACACCCTACTTCCAATTAAACATGCTCCCCACTTTTAATATTGTTAATTTGCACCAGGACTTGCAAGAAGAAGAATACCATTCCCTGTGGTGTTCACTTGGCAAATGAAAGGAGGAGTTGGACAGAACCCACATTCCCCTTCCCCCAGCTTTCTGTTTTGAGGAGACTGTGGAGTGGCTTAGTAGCAGCAGGTCCTCTAGGTCGGGAACTTCTTGGAACTGCATTTATTTTTGCCACTCCAGGGATGTTTCTGCTAGTTGGGCTGGAGGAATAGGGTAAATCCCTTGTACATCCTTCCCAAAGCTTTGACATTTATAAGGTGGTGTGAGTAGTAGAAATCCAGCACATGCCATGGGGGTGCTCATATTCCTTGGCCATGCGTTTATTCAGGTAATTCTAATGTTCACCTAGCTTGCTTCGTTATATGCAGAGACGGAGAAAACAGGAACAGGCGACTTGCGTAACTCTATTCAGTTGCTTTAAAATGTTGAATCTCCTTAAGAAGTCTTAAGGTGGGAGATTCAGATGTTGAGACCCCTGGCTAAGTGGAGGTAACACTGACTGTGGTGTTTCTGCAGGCTGTCTACTGTGTGGAGAAGCTTGGCATCCCCATGGAGAAGGTCAATCCCCTTGGTGGGGCCATAGCTTTGGGGCATCCCTCTGGGCTGCACTGGGGCGCGGCAGGTGGTCACTCTGCTCAACGAGCTGAAGCGTCGGGGGAAGAGGTGAGTGTGGAGCCACTTGCATTAACTCTTAACTTTGAAGTATGTATTGATGCTGCATGTTGCTAAAGAAAGACGGACTTTTTTATCCCCCTGGTGCTGGAGGGGTTTGTGTAGGTGGTTTCCCAACTGGAGAAACTTGTTCAGGAGTTACAACTATCTCAAAGCTTTCTTACGCAAGTTCTAACTGGCAGAAAGAAATGCAAGACACATCAAAGGACTTTGTTGTTGTATGTGGCAATAATTCAACAGTTTGTGGAGCTGTTGGTGTTAGTGCCTTTTGGGGCAGACTTTTTGATTGGTCCCTGGCCACTTCTCCTTAAACTTGCAATCCAAGTGTACTGTTAGGTTCTACTGCAGGAAACACCTATTTCTCTCTCCCTCCCCAAATCTCAGCAACTGAAATGATTTTGAAAGCAAATGCCCCCGATCTTTGGATAGCCAAGATGTGCATGCTCTTGTTTTCTCTCATACACTGCTTTGGGTATGTCTGAGCAGTACCGTATTTTTCGCCCTATAGGACGCACTTTTTCCCCTCCAAAAATGAAGGGGAAATCTGGGTGCGTCCTATGGGGCGAATGCAGGCTTTCGCTGAAGCTTGGAGAGCGAGAGGGGTCGGTGCGCACCGACCTGAAGCTCTCCAGGCTTCAGGAAGACATCCGCAGCCTAGGCAGCCCTGCGGGAGTTCCCGCAGGGCTGTCTAGGCTGCGTATAGCAGCCTGCTTCCCGGAGCGTCGGGCGCCCTGAAAGCAGAGCGCCCGGCACTTCGGGAACACATCCGCAGCCTAGGCAGCCCTGTGGGAGTTCCCCGCAGGGCTCCCCACGCTGCAAATAGCAGCCTGCCACCCGGCAGGCAGGGCGCCCCGCGCGCCGGGCAGACATCGGCCAGCCCCACAAGCTCGGGGACAGCAGGGGCGCCGCCATCCCGCTGTTCCTCAACCTGGTTCAGTTTCCCCGACCTGCTTTGGGGGGGGGAGGAATTCCCCCCCCCTTTATTTCCCCCCCCAAAAAACTAGGTGCGTCCTATGGGACGGAAAATACGGTAAATCATACAGAGGCACATCAGGCAGCCTCTGGGGTGAGTACTTCTGAATAAATCTAGCTATTGCAGCACACAGCTTAGGAATGTTGGGCTGAAGTATCTCAGGTGGCAGGAACTGCATTCAGCTGCCATTGTGCCACTTATTCCAGTTGTCACGTAGGGCAGAAGAGTTAGCTGGTTTTAGTCTGTGTTGCAAATTCTGACCTGTGTGACCATGGAGTATGAGTTCAAAAGTAGTCGGTTTCTAAAACCATGTCAGATGAAACTAGAGAATGCAAACAAGAGTTAGGCACTAACTTGTGTCCTTCTTTCAGAGGATATGGCGTGGTCTCCATGTGCATTGGAACAGGGATGGGAGCAGCTGCGGTGTTCGAGTACCCTGGAAAGTGAACAGAACTCTGGCCTGCTTAACAGCTGGAAGTTTCCAGCACCTCCCCCCAAATGATTCATGAATCGGTCCAATGAAAAGATGCTGAGGTAGCCTGCAGGTGGGATACACGCCACAGCGCTCTAGTTCAGTTGTCCCTCTTTGCAGCCTTCCAGCTAAATCTTGCACAGGGATGGTATGCTCCTACAAGAGAGGCTTTGCGTAGGGAGGATGGGACTCTGAGCGTCATAAATCTTGACCTGTGGGGCAGAGCCAGTTGAGTACCCGTTCCTGAGGGGAATTCTGCCTAAAGGGACTAATCGTGTATTTGGGAGCAGGCTCCAGCAGCACTGGCTTCTTCATTTAGCCAGCCTAACTCTGCGAGACAAGAGTCAGTCAATAGAGGTCCTCTTAGGACTGACTGATAAAAGGTACAGGTTGATGTAGCGCTGTTGAAACAGAGGAGGGCTGTGGCTTTGCTTTGCTTAGGGAACTTCTATGGGAAGGTGACTTAATAAATGGAGTTCAAAAGCTTACCTTTGGTGGCTCCAAGTGCCCCCCTCCAATATGCTAATAACTCCTAAAACATTCCTGCCAATATTATGCCAGGTCAGAAGTTTACACTGATCTTTAAGGATTTTAACCAATTAATGAAATTTCATTAATGAAAACCTCAGTATGGCTGCCTTTGCGAGACACCTAGTGTCAGAACCTGAGCCTTTAATAGCAACTAAATAATAAAGTTTTCTAATAACTACTGTTTTCTAGTCCTTATTTATAAAAAAGCAACAGCTCACCTCTCTTAGGATCTTACTAATATTCTGTTTTTAATTGGAAGGCTCAGCTTCTTAATTCAGAAATCAAGCCTCCACACTCAAGTCAACAGAAATAACGGCCTTTTATTTTCTACTATACATCACCAAAAATCAGGTAAACCTACTTACAGCCACCTGCGGCAGCAGCTTTAGCTGCACCTGCTGGGAAATTGGTTGGGCGCTTTACGTTTTGCGCATTTCTTCATACTTCTCATCGTAAGATCCTTTCCCCCGGATGTAGAGCAGGCAGGGTGCCTCTCCCAGCATCCCAACAACTGTGATTATGGTTTGATATTCCACGTCCTCCCTGTTTATAGGGAAAGAAACACAATCCAGGAAGGCGGGTGGAGGCCTGCTAGTCTTACAGCTGCCTACTAGTGGCAATGTCAAGCCACGTACATTTAAACTCCTCTCCCAGAGGGATCTCCAGCCACAACACTGATGCAGCATGCGAGGAAGCCCCGAATGTATGCAGTTACTCTATATTATGGAAGGTAGAAGTAGCAGGATTAAGCTCTTGCTTATTTAATTTATGTGGTACTCTGCCAGTTAAAATCTCACAACTGTATGCTAGCTGTGTTGCACTCCTGATTTTAACCCCCCCCCCCAGAGGATAAAGAAAACTTGCTGCTGTATCTGCCTCAAGTCTTTTAGGGCAGCGCTAACTCACCCTCCAGCCTTCCAGAGGTTGCTGGAAATGACTTCAGAATCTAACATCTGGAGGGGCAAAGGTTAGTAACCCTAATTTTGGGAGGTTACTAGAAGTGGTGAATTTAGCTTTATAATGTGCCCTAATTCTAGCTCCTTGGCACAATTTATATTTAATACGCAAGTATTGCTCTCTGAGCTGGGAGCCCATCTGCCCTAAGATACTTCTGCAGCTACTGCTTTCTTGTACACTGAAGACCCATAGGTTACCCTTTTGTATGGAAAACAGTTCTGCTCCAGCTACATCCCCACTGTCAGCGTGAAGTGCAGAAGTTATCAGAGGAAGCGCTTAGGAATGCAGTCACTGCAGTCAATACACAAGGAATCATGGTTTCATAAAGGCCCCCTAATTTACCAACAGGTTGGCAGCTCTGGTGGTAACCCTACAAAAGCCATGCAGAACATTAACTCGCTTCATGTCCTACCTTGGGGTGAAGCGAACCACCAGAAGTGTTTTGGTAGGCACGCTACTTTGATGTGCTTCAAGAACGCCGTTATTTGGGGAGATGGAAAACACTTCAGGTTCTTTGTGCCGCTCATTTTTATCTGTAAGAGGAAGTGAAAGAGCAACAGGTATATTGACATTCTTAATGAAAAGAAAACCTCACTAACGTCTACTCACATCTTTACCAGTTGAATAAAATGGCCACTCCGCTTCTGAGAAAGTTGTTAACAGTTGTCCTGGCTTCCAGTCTACTGAATTCATTAATTTATCCAAAATCGGTTTCAAAAATACACTGCAGTTTGCAAATGTGTGTCCTTCATTATCATTCTAATGCACCATTAACACAATGAGCTCCCACTTTTTTTTGGCAGAAAGGAGATCTACAAATGTTCTAAATTAAACAGATTCTATGATTTTGTTAAAAAATAAATGGACATTCTCACAATGCAGCTTCCAAGCATAGGAGCCTTCTTAACAGTGTGGGAGATGTCAACCTCCCGATTTCTCTTACCTAGCAAAGCTGTCCAGTAGCTCCTGCATCCACTTGTATTCATCACAAGGACAGCTTCCGACCTCGTTTGATTAACAAGGCAGATTTCAAAATCAATCGTGTCACAAGAGAGCCCAAGTACTGGGACAGTGAGGTATGCAGCCATGGGCAATGCCTGGAAAGGTATAAAACAGGGCAAGAGCCTTTGATAAAGGAGGAATTCTGCACTGACAAGGCAAAGCAGACTGGGAAGATAGGCCAGAGCTGATCTATGGTAATTGCCCTTATACGTAAGGTGTGCAGCTAGCTTGGTACAAGCATCCCAGAGCATTTCTAGTGCAGCTTCTAGGTGTGGACACCAGCTCTCTTTGAGGGCCGATGCCAACTAAATGGATGCTTAAAAAGTAACTGCTAAAATTCTGGGGGTGAGTTGTGGGATTACACACTCCCTCCCCTGTCTAAGTATAACTCTCCCAGGCTGGGTAAGCATTTCTGCCAGCGCCAGTGGTTAACCAGGATCCAACCTAACCATAAAGTACATTCAGATGGACCTCCACACGGGAGCCAGTGTTTTCTGGGGTTTTGTTTCTTTCTGCTGCAGGGTAAGAGCAGAAATCTTAAGACTACTTCTCTGAGCAACAGCTTCCACTCTGCCAAGTGTCAGCCAATTGGCTCTACACAAAGCCAGACACTGCTGCAATCAGGGAGACCTTGTTACTCTTGTAATTCGGCCATATTTCTGGCCAAAAAAAAGAAGTGGGTACGGCAAGGCAGACACGTCTGCTCAGCCACCCACCCCTCTTAAAGATCAAACGTGTACCTAAGAACTATTAAGCTTCGGAAGACTAGTAACTGGTCTAGGGGTAGTAAACCTGTCCTGCCAAAGGTTGTGTACAAATAACTTGTGTAAATAATAAAATATGAAAGAAGTTTGAAACAATATGTGGTAAAGTGGGCTTAAGCAGGTAGAGGCGACAAATCAATATATTCTATTCCCATACTTGCATTGATATATATTAAAGTACAGGTGATTCCTGACTTACGTAGGGGTCACTGTTCTGGGTCCCCGTGCCCATAAGCAAAATGTGTGTAAGTGGGTAGCCCTGTTGCAGTAAATACAGCTTCTTGCTCAACAGTGGTTGAACGGGGTAGCTCCCGTATGCCATTGTGAAACCCTTGCGGGTCTTTTTTCCTGGACTTTTGGCTCACTGACACCAATCTGCATACCTGGGTTGCTTTGTTACTGTATTCAATGATGAGATTTTGCTTAAATTCTAGTATTTTGTCTCCGTTTTCAAGCTGTAGCACTTGAAGCCCAGGCAGGAACTGGTCTTCCGGGAGATGTTGGTAGGTTAGTAACTCCAGGGATGTGTGGAATGACACCTTTACCTACATGTAAGCCAGGCCAAATGTGTTAATGACAGAACCGTGTTTGCAGGAAAAACAACGTGCTGTACATTATTATTATTATTAAAATTTGTATACTGCCTTATACCCGCAGATCTCAGAGTGGTTCACAGAATAAAATCACAATATAAAAACACAAAATACGTAATCGAAATAAAAACAAACAACCCCCCTAAAAAAACATTTTAAAAGGGCATTGGATGTCAATCAACCAAAGGCCTGGTTAAAGAGGAATGTTTTTGCCTGGCGCCTAAAGGTGTATAATGAAGGTGCCAGGCAAACCTCCCTGGGGAGAGCATTCCACAGACAGGGAGCCACTGCAGAGAAGGCCCCGTTCTTATGTTGCTGCCCTCCGGACCCCTCATGGAGGTGGCACACGAATAAGGGCCTCAGAGGATGATCTCAGGGTTCGGGTAGGTTCATATGGAATATGAGGTATTGCAGTCCAGTAAAACAAAATGTCGTTATCTTTTACTGGACGAACTTCTCTCGGTGAACAGATAAGCAGGCTCTTGAATTGCACAGAACTCTTGTTCACATAGAAGACAACAGAAGAAGCCAAGCCAGTCATTTTGCATAAGGGAATGGCTTGTTCACTTAACATATTGATGCTAATCAAGCAGTACAAACAGGTTCCTACTTTTAAAAAAGGGGCCCTCTTTTGACCTGCAACACCAGTTCTCTTAATGACTACACTGTGAATTTGAACTGAAGGGTCTAAATGCAATTAAAAAATTTAAATGCAAAAAATGAGGAGGGTGCTTTAGTGTGGTGGCATTTATCTTTTAGCACTTCCTGCCACTGCGTATCAGACATGCACCTGCTCTGTTGCCTTTCTGATGCCTGCTAAAGACATTCCTCTTTCAACACACCACCTAAAGACTTTATCCCAGTCGGGATCTTGGATTTGAACTGATTCTATGCGTGTGCTGCCTCTGTTTTAAACTGCTTTTATCTATACCATTGTTTTAACTAATGAAAAATAGTATTAAGTAATAATAATGACTTAAATAGACATTGGATAGTTCTCTCCTTTTCTTGACGGAGTTCCTACTTCAAGCTAGTACTTTAAATGGTAAAACTTCCTTGCAAAATGGCTTATGCTTCTAATCCGAAGCCCTGGTCTCCCTCCCTGGTCTGTGTCACTTTATCTCTATACTAGAACTTCGGTACCAGTGAAAGCAATGGGGCGTAAATTTAATTTAATCCACATCCAATCCACGGTGCCTATAAGCTGCCGGTTAAGGCTTGAAGATGAACCTACCAACATATTTTCCAGAGGATAGAGTAAAAGGTGCTGCTCCCCATTTTCACTGTCACTGTGGGGTATCTTCAGGTTCTTCTTGGGGTCTACGCCAGACACGGAGAAGGGCGTCGTCAAAACCAGCTTGAAGGACAGAGGAGTCTCTGTGTTGTTGGTGAGCTTCAGGTTAAGGGTTGTGGCTGACTGTGTCAGTACCTAAAGGATTGAGAGAGAGCATATACATAAAAGGGCATACGTACCATTTATGCCCTTTTAAAATGTTTTTTTGGGGGGGGGTCCTATTGGGTTGTTTTTATTTTTATTAAGTATTTTGTGATTTTATATACTGATTTTATTCTGTGAACCGCCCTGAGACCCCCGGGTATAGGGCAGTTAATTAATTAAATAAAATCAAGATATAATCAAGATATAAAATCAGCAATGGATTTTAAGTTTAAAAGTGTGATAGGCATATAAACATATAAAAACTTTAAAGTTGACTACCTCAGAAAAATGATCCAAAGTTGCCCGTGGATCTGGGTTTGGGAATTTTCTTAAACTAGATTGAATCGGGGGATGGTCTGCGCCTACAGATCTGTGCGCAGAATCTGGCGACAATCTGGGTTGCCGTGTGGTCTTTGCCTTATATTGTATATTGTTTTAAATGTTTGTTTTGCTATTGGGATTGTAGTTCTATTTGTGTTTCTCAAGTTGGTCTCTGACCGTAATAAATTTCATGTTCATATATAAAATCACAAAATACATAATAAAATAAAATTTAATTAATTAATAATATTAAACACAGGCGATTCCCCACATATGTGCATTCAACTCATGCACGGCTGCATATATCTGCAGGTGCTGGGAAATAAATAATTTCAAAGGGCAAAAACGGCCCCAAAGCATTTTTTCTTGTTGCGTGGTAGTGCAAATTGTTAATTTGCGGGGTGATTTTGCTAAGTGATTTGCGGGGAAATGTTGAGAAACAAATGATCAAAATCAAACCCGCTTCACATCCCCAGGTCCCTTACAGTGCATCCCCGCACTGGATTCTGAGTGTGGCTGTTTCATGGTGCCCTTTCAGAGCCTTGTTCCGTGAGGAGGAAAGACACAACTTTTCGAGGATCTCAAAAGTAGGAAAGGAATCGGGACTACTTACGCCCATGAGGGGCTCGTCTGGGATAAGGGCGCTGGCCAGAGCGTGAAACACCAATCCGCTCTCATGATCCATCTCAGCAGTTAGCCTGCAGGAAGAAAACCAAAGGCCGTTCAGTCTTGTCTAAGCAGGAGCATAACCCACTAATGGGATTATATGTGGCACATTCAGTGTAGAGCATGCCAACCGAGCTTGGCTCTGGACTGCTTTCAACAAGCTCTTAGAGCGGAATTAAGAACAAGTCCATACTGTGGCGGGCGCTGTACTGGCTGTGACGTTGCATGGGGTGGTGCGTGCGTTAGTCACACACCGTCCCGACGTCACCTTCCCGCCCGCCCGCTACATTGTAAGGGGCATGTACGCTGGTCACTGCATTGAAAGGGGGCATGTACGCTGCTCACTGTTTTGAAGGGGAGTGAAGAACACACACACACACACAAAAAGGTAACTTGTTAATTTAACGTTTATTTCTATGAGGAGGAGTAATTCTGAGGGGTCAAACAAAGAAATAATAAAAAAGTGACAAAATTATTTTTATAATGACGAGGATGACATTGGGCCCTCATTATTAATTATTATTTACATCAGGCACTGATTATGATTTATGGTACACTGGGGCCCTGATTAATTTTCTATTAATTTTTGCGGCTCCAGTTACCTTCTGCCTTATTTGGTTGCAGACCCTCTACTGCAACAGAACATGTCTTTCGTCATTGTAGCCTATATAAGAGTAGAAAGAGCCAACTTTTGTGTATCTTCTACTTGAGGTTTTAAATTCAGAGCTGAGGAATCTCCGGTTTGGGGTTGAAGGAGACTCCCCAATCTGCCCCCCCCGGACTACAACTCCCATCATCCCTGCCCTTCTACTGTAGCCATAATTTTATTCATTGCTTGTATTTAGTACAGGTGTTATTTTATGACAGACATTTGTTTGCCACCTTTTAATAATAATAGCAGCAGAGCAGTTTATGAATGAAACGCAGTTCATTTCTCCTTTAGCTAAAGCAATTGTAAAATGAATAAAGCAGTAAAACTCAAAGCTGCGTAAAGTAGCAAAGGAGTTCATAAAAGACAAAATAGGACTGAGATTTTATTGTTGTTTTTAAAAAAGGTATTTGCCTAGCAGAAAGAACCCCACCTCCATTTTGGGAAAGCTTTGGGCTCTGCTCAGGTCCATCACCTCTGTCCATCACCTCTGTAGATTGCCAGGGTTCAAGCTGAGCTAACGCCACTCTCTTTCAGGAAATGGAAGCACAAAACCAGGCTTCCAGTCCCTGAAGGAGCCCAAGTGAGCACTCTCTTCCGGACTCGTCCAACACATTTGGGTTTGGGGGTAAAATTAACCCAAAAACGGTGAGAAGAGAGTTCCTTCTCTGTTTCTGGATGATGAGAGTATCATCCCGGTCATGAGGCATAGTGGCCATTCCAGTGCCCTTCTGGAAGAGAGCCAGTGTGGCGTAGTGGTTAAGTGCGGTGGACTCGTAATCTGGTGAACTGGGTTCGATTCCCCGTTCCTCCACATGCAGCTGCTGGGTGACCTTGGGCTAGTCACACTTCTCTGAAGTCTCTCAGCCCCACTCACCTCACAGAGTGTTTGTTGTGGGGGAGGAAGGGAAAGGAGAATGTTAGCCGCTTTGAGACTCCTTAAGGGGAGTGATAAAGCGGGATATCAAATCCAAACTCTTCTTCTTCACCACCCAACATCTGCTTGTGCAGCTGTGAGCACCCAGCACTCACTCTGTCCCAAAAGCCACCCCATCGCTTCAGGTATGGCACTTACAAAGCCGGCTTGACAAACGCTTGCAGGTCAATCCGCAGAGGCGCAACGGCATAGCCATCTTCACGAGTCACTTTCCCAGGGACGTTCTGAACCATCTGGTGGAGGGGAATAAAAACGTATCAACGGTGGTCCATTATGGGCACTTAAGAGCCACATTGAGCCTCCTCCGAGCGATGGGATGGGATGGGGCTGGGCTTAATTCGGGTTGCAGCTCGATTTGTGTTACGGCCATTCTTGGGAGCGGGGGACAGGCAGGACCTGCCACGACCAGAGCACTTTGGATGGTGAGGTGTGGCTTCCCAAGATGGTTTCCATTTGGAAGAAAATGGTTGCCAGGGATCCTAGGTTGCCATCTCAGTTTGTGCAAAGAGCTGGCCATGGAGCAGCGATGCAAGAAACTGGACCCATGCGAGGCTTATGACCTGATAGGAGGTAATGGAGCTATGTCACCATGAGCCTAACCTGCGTATCTGGGGAAGACTCAGGGAATGAATCTGGCTTATGCTCATGGGCTGTCCTGCAAAACAGCACCATTCCTCAGCACACCTTCTCTCTACTTCGGGAGGACTAGGTAGGATGACCCATGGTGGTGGCAAGTGGGTGTTAGTTTGGGTAGGGCGGTGAGAGCAAGGTGCTGGACAAAGCCTAAGGAACACAACAAAGCTGGAAAGAGAGAAGCCAGATGAGATGGGATGGATAAGGAGGGAAAGGAAAGGCGGTCTTCTCTTATCCATACCCTGCTATCCAGGCTCATGAAGCCAAGGGCAAAACCTTCGCATTCAAACTTATTGATGATCTCTGGCAGCATCAGCGGAGTGAAGGAAATGTGGATGGCAGCAGCACCACCTGCGGGGACCACCTGGGCACAAACAGCTGATTAGGAACACTGAGAGGGCAGGTGGTTCTGCATATCCGGGGGGCTTGAGGTTTGTATTTCTGAAACAGCCGTCCCCTCCTCCACCCCCACATGTGGCAAACAACTTGCGAAGCTAGGGAGGCTTCAAAAATATTCTGATTTTTGGGGAGAGAGGAAAGGTTGTGTTTTGAACCCCAGACAGAGTGTACAGCTGCCCAGGCCAGGGTCAACTTTGTGTCCTGGTTCCTGATGAGAGCCAGTTTTCTAAATATATGGAGCCCACAGAGCTGAGACTGTAGGAGGTGGAGGGACCGCATTCTTAAATGCTCTGCCACATAGTGTGAAGTAGACTATTATGGGGAGTGTTTTATATGGAGAAGCGTTCAAAAGAAGTAACTCTCCCCCACACTTGTGATATCCTGAACCTGCATCATAATCCAGAATCCAACCACATCAGTCAATCACCTTGTTTTGAATAATATAATAATAAACAAAAAGCCAGCCCTGTGGAACGTTCTCCCATCAGATTTCAAGGGAATAAACAACTATCTGACTTTTAGAAGACATCTGAAGGCAACCCTGTTTAGGGAAGCTTTTAATGTTTGATGTTTTGTTATGTTTTTATATTCTGTTGAAAGCTGCCCAGAGTGGCTGGGGGAACCCAGTCAGATGGGTAGCATATTATTATTATTATTATTATTATTATTATTATTATTATTATTTACTACTGTAGGTTAAACCACAGAGCCTAGGACTTGCCGATCAGAAGGTCAGCGGTTCAAATCCCCGCGGTCCCACTTTCAAATCCCCGTAGTTCGAAAGCACGTCAAAGTGCAAGTAGATAAATAGGTACCGTTCCGGCAGGAAGGTAAACGGCGTTTCCGTGCGCTGCTCTGGTTCACCAAAAGCGGCTTAGTCATGCTGGCCACATGACCCAGAAGCTGTACGTCAGCTCCCTCGGCCAGTAGAGCGAGATGAGCGCAGCAACCCCAGAGTCGGCCACGACTGGACCTAATGGTCAGGGGTCCCTTTACCTTATTATTCTATTCTATTTGGAGAACACAGGGAAGGATTCATAAATACATGAAAAGCCGCCCCCCCCCCAAGTTTAGCCCTTTCTCATGTTGAAATCTCTTCTCCCTCCCTCCCATTTTTTCACCGCTTGGCTTCCAAGGTCACAGGAGGGCAGCTAGAACATACCACTTGCTTGGGAGTGATGCAGAAAGGGTAGTCGGAGGGCACCCCCTCGTGGGGCCGGATGACCACCGAGATTATTTTCTTGAGGACGGTCGGTTGCCAAGAGTAATCATCGCTGCTGCTGCTGCTTCCTCCTCCTCCTCCTCCTTCGTCGTCCTCCAAAATTGCATCTAGACTCTATGGCAATGAAAAATATGGGCTGTGAAGGATCAGAGAGGGAGGAAACTACAATGGTACCTCGGGTTACATACGCTTCAGGTTACAGACGCTTCAGGTTACAGACTCCGCTAACCCAGAAATAGTACCTCGGGTTAAGAACTTTGCTTCAGGATGAGAACAGAAATCGTGCTCTGGCAGCGCGGCAGCAGCAGGAAGCAACCATAGGCTAAAGTGGTGCTTCAGGTTAAGAACAGTTTCAGGTTAAGAACGGACCTCCAGAACGAATTAAGTACTTAACCCGAGGTACCACTGTACATAAGAATAGCTTGCTGGAACTAGCCAGTGGCCCATGCAGCCCAGCATCCTGTTCTCATAGTGGCCAACTGGTATTCAGAACCACACCGTTAAGTGTGACGATAGAAGGCCAGTGGCCACCAGAGTGGCATGTTATTCAGAATGGCAAAAGGGGCTTCTTCTTCTACTACTCTTTAAACAGAATGGAAATCTAGGAAGGAAAGAAGGCCCTAGAGGAGCGGTTCTCAACCTGTGGGTCCCCAGATGATGTTGGACTACAACTCCCATCACCCCTAGCTAGCAAGGCCAGAACTCAGGGATGATGGGAGCTGTAGTCCAACAACATCTGGGGACCCACAGCTTGAGAACCTCTGCCCTAGAGCATGAGGACATCCAATGAAGGTTCAGGATAGATAAAGGAAAGGACTTCTTCACTAGGGAACTTGGTCCTCCAGGTGGCAGTGATGCCTACCAACTTGGATGGCTTTCATAGAGGAGGAGGAGAGGGCTATTGATGGCTACTAGTCAGGATGGCTGTGCTCTGCCTCCATCCTGGAGGCAGCAATGCTTCTGAACACCACTTGCTGGAAGCCACAGGAGGGGAGAGTTGCTCTTGAGCTCAGGACCTGCTTGCTGTTTTCCCACCGGCCACTTTGAGAACAGGGTGCTGGACTAGATGGGCCACCAGAAGGCTCTTCTTATGTTCCGAGGGAAAGCTAAACTCATGAAGAGACACAGAAGCCAAGACCAAGATGAACCGCCTCGAACGAAGGCAGGAAATGGGCTGGGGCTGAGGAGGACCGAGTCTGGACGACAGATGGAGCCATAACCCACACAATGGGCCTTCATCCCAGGAGAAAAAGTTGATTCTCTGCAATTCCACCCAGGTTGGCCTGGTCCGCATGGAACATTAAACCACATCTCAAAACAAACTATGGTGTCTTCTTTGCTCCTACGGTATCTGCTGCTCTTGCTGCACCTCAAGGATGTCTGAACCTGGGCTCGTGGTTTGCTCCTCTTAAAGAAAAACAACAATTGGAAGTGAAAGCCCCAGCCCCATGCAAAACTCTAGGTCCGGCATTTCCCAACCTGGTTTCCCTCCGGATGTTTTCAACTGCAACATTCCTCTCAACCCTAACAAGCAAGGAGAACCCAGAGGCTGAGAGGGAGAGTGTGCCAGAAGGGAAATGAATTGATACCGATTTATACAAGGTGTGACCGGAAAGTTCGGTAGTCACAGAAATTGGACATCGAAATATTCGAACATACATGCCTTACAGGCTTTCAAAGTAGGCCCCTTTTGATACAACGCACCATTGACAACGTTTGTAGAACTGCTGGAAGCTTCTGGAGAAGTCTTCTTTTTGTACTGCGTTCAGTTCCCTCGTCACAGCAGCTTGGACGTGTGAAATGTTGGAAAATCTGTGCCCTTTCATTGCAGATTTCCATCTTGGAAAAAGAAATAAATCCAGTGGGGACAGATTGGGAGAACATGGAAGGTGGGACAACTCAGTAACCTCAGTAACAATTTCAAGTGGAATATGCAATTCTTCCACCATCATTCAGATGGAAAATGCCTATCCCACATCAATAACTCACGAACTCTGTCGACATCTGAAGCCGCCGGTCTCCCAGACCGAGGGTCATCTTCACTGGTTTGCTGCCCTTCACAGAAATGCTTAAACCACTCATACACTGTCTTTCGAGTTACAGCTTCATCTCCGTACACAATTGTGAGCATTTAGTGAGTTTCTGATGCCGATTGCATATTCGAATATTTCTTGCTGTCTGATCTCTGTGACCATTCACTGAACTTTCTGGTCACACATTGTATATATTAGTAACTTTGTTACTATATAGCATTTTTATACGTAGCTGTGTCTTTTTGTAATATTTTACGTCTGTCTGTTGTTGCTTCAGTTTTTTGTCCACCACTTAGATATATATTTTAATATATTAAGCAGCATAAAGGTAAAGGTACCCCTGATCATTAGGTCCAGTCGCAGACGACTCTGGGGTTGTGTGCTCATCTTGCTCTATAGGCCGAGGGAGCTGGCGTTTGTTCGCAGACAGCTTCCGGGTCATGTGGCCAGCATGACTAAGCCGCTTCTGGCGAACCAGAGCAGCACACAGAAACGTTGTTTACCTTCCCTGCCGGAGCAGTACCTATTTATCTACTTGCACTTTGATGTGCTTTCGAACTGCTAGGTTGGCAGGAGCTGGGACTGAACAACAAACGGGAGCTCACCCCGTCACGGGGATTCGAACCGCTGACCTTCTGATCAGCAAGTCCTAGGCTCTGTGGTTTAACCCACAGCGCCACCCGCGTCCCTTTTATTAAGCAGTATAGAAATCAAATAATCTAATCGCAACAACATCTAGCGCTCACTAGGATGCAGAAGCCTGCTCTAGTTTCAAGCCTGGAAAGCAATACCACTGAAAAATAATGCGACTGGAAGGAAGGAGAGTTGTAAAGAACATTTGTGTTAAATTGCACGCACCCATGCGAGCATTCTTGCTCATTTGACATTCATATCCAAGAGCTGCATGCAAGGCGCCTTCCTGCCTTTAAGGAAAACACTGCACAATAGATCCCTACCGGGTTCTCCTTGAGAGATCCTGCAGCGTAAGGCACTTTCTCTGGGGGTGTTTCAGTCTCCCAGAGGACTTCAATCTCATTGCCGTCAAGGTCTCTAACAGGAAAAGGAGCTCCGTAGAAGACCAAGAGGTCCACCAGCTTGTCGTCATCTTTATCCTGGTTATAGCTTTCCCAGTCCATTCGAATGTCTGGATTGAGAAACGGGGGGGGGGGGGGGATGCAGAAAGAAACTCAGAGTTGCTAAGGATTTATAACCAAGGTTGAGCTTGTATTTGCATGTTCATCCTTCAGCAACGGCAACGTTAGAAGATGTCTTGCATGTGTGAAGTAACTGTGACCAGGCAAGCGCCATAGACGACAAACCTTGCATACTGCTCCACAGCATGCCTCAGTCAAAGCTGTGTGCAGTGATACAATGCACTGGGACTGGTGTTGAACACAGCGACCTAAAGACCTCAGCTTTCTTTACTTTTCATCAGGGGGTTTGGGCAGGGTGTTCCTAAGCATGCGGATGATACCCAGCTCTACCTCTCTTTTAAGGTCCTGTGTGAGTGTCTGGAGGTGGTTGGAGGATGGATGGCAGCTAACAGATTGAGGTTGAATCCTAACAAGACAGAAGTACTATTTTGGGGGGACAGGGGGTGGGTAGGTGTTGGGGACTCCCTGGTCCTGAATGGGGCAACTGTGCCTCTGAAGGAGCAGGTGCACAGCCTGGGAGTCATTCTGGACTCACAGCTGTCCATGGAGGCGCAGGTCAATTCTGTGTCCAGGGCAGCTGTCTACCAGCTCCATCTGGTATGCAGGCTGAGACCCTATCTACCCGCAGACTGTCTCGCCGGAGTGGTCCATGCTCTGGTTATCTCCTGCTTGGACTACTGCAATGTGCTCTACGTGAGGCTACCTTTGAAGGTGACCCGGAAACTACAACTAATCCAGAATGCGGCAGCTAGACTGGTGACTGGGGGCGGCCGCTGAGACCATATAACACTGGTCTTGAAAGACCTACATTGTCTCCCAGTACGTTTCCGAGCACAATTCAAAGTGTTGGTGCTGACCTTTCAAGCCCTAAACAGCCTCGGCCCAGTATCCCTGAAGGAGCGTCTCCACCCCCATCGTTCAGCCCGGACACTGAGGTCCAGCTCCAAGGGCCTTCTGGTGGTTCCCTCCTTGCAAGAAGTGAAGTTACAGTGAACCAGGCAGAGAGCCTTCTCGGTAGTGGCACCCACCCTGTGGAACGTCCTTCCACCAGATGTCAAAGAAATAATCAACTATCTGACTTTTAGAAGACATCTGAAGGCAGCCCTGTTTAGGGAAGCTTTTAATATTTGAGGTTTTATTGTGTTATTAATATTTTGCTGGAAGCTACCCAGAGTGGCAATGTTGCAAAGACAACATTGGAAGCAGGCGAGCAGGGGAAAGTTCTGAGACCACAGAAATGCCCTTGGGACATTCACCACAAAACCTTAGCCTATGGGACAGCATGGAGCCTTGAACCGCTGTTGGTTAACATGGAAATTCCAAAACTGCCGGGATTGTAGCTCATTCAGTATCCCCACAAAGGCAAGGAGAGCTCAGTGAAAGATGCTCAAAAGCTTCCTACTGGAACTGGTTGCTACTGGGCCTTTGCCATTGTCGCAGCAACAAAAACACTGTAATGCAGAAGTGGGGAAACTCAGGCCCATGAGACAAATATAAGCTGCTCTGGGTGTCTGCCTGGCGCCTGGAACTCCCCTCCCTTGCCCAAGTGTTTTGCTGAAAAGTGTCCATGGACTCTGATAATGCTCCTTGCTTGGTTGGATGAAAAGAGAGGGGTGCATTAATATTTGCACAGCAGAAAGCAGCCTGCTGTGCAAAGGAACCACCGTATTTTTCACTCTATAGGACACGCCCGACCATAGGATGCACCTTGTTTTAGAGGGGGAGAACAAGAAAAAAAAATCTCCCCCTCTGCTCAGCGCCCCTTCAGCGAAGCGGCAGGAGAAACAGAGCCCCTTCCATTTCTCCTCTCACTTCGCTGAAGGGGCGCTGCGCAGAGAGGGAAAGCTGTGCAGCGCCTCTCCAGCGAAGCAAAGCCAGGAGAACAAGAGGGATTGGTGTGCACCGATCCGTCTCGCTCTCCTGGCTTCAGCGAAGCAACCCGAAGCCTCCGGCTTCAGGCGGCTATCCCTGAAGCCTGGAGAGCGAGAGGGGTCGGTGAACACTGACCCCTCTCGCTCTCCAGGCTTCAGTGAAGGCAACCCAAAGCCTTCGGAGTGCAGCGGGACTTTCCGCTGCGCTCCAGGGGCTTCAGGTTCCTTTCGCTGAATCCAGGAGAGTCTTGCTCTCCTGGCTTCAGTGAAAGCAACCCGAAGCCTCCGGAGCACGGAGGGAGTGCTCCCTCTGCGCTTCAGAGGTTTTGTGGTTGCTATCGCTGAAGCCAAGGAGCCTGCATTCGCTCCATAAGACACACACACATTTCCCCTTAATTTTTGGAGGGGGAAAAGTGTGTCTTATAGAGCGAATAATACGGTAATGTACATTTATTGCTCTGCCTCTGGCCCCACTCGGGCCCCACTCGGTGCTGGGTTGGAAACAGGACCCCTGCTTTTGCCATAATGCTTCTCACAAAGGGCAAACATCCTCTTCACTTACCAAAGGGGGTGGGGTTGTTGAGCCGGACGTACCGCGAGACTGTATCCCCTCCGGAGATGTGGGCCCCAAACCTGGAGAAGAAAAATGGGGTCACCTGGGTATGCATCACTTAAGTCTACGTTCTGGTCTTTCTGTTGAAGGGGACATGCCTCTGCCACAAGGCTCTGCTCTCCTCCGGGGCAGCTGGGTCAGAAGGGCTTGGGAATCCTGACAGAGAATCCCCTTTAAAGGTGAACCTCCTTAAGTCGCACTTCTGGAAACAGAATGCGAATAGAAAATGCAGCTGTTCATCAAAATAATCCCTGCTCCAAATTCTGCAATATGGTTCTTTAGCCAAGTAATGTGTACAAAATTCAAACGCTAGGGCAAAGTGTGAATCAAAATGCACGTTACTGAAAATTACATACAAAAAATGCATTACATTAGGGAGAATCGATATTAAAAAATTATGCTAGGCACAGAAAAATGTGCATACTAGGGGAAAATTCACAGAATACTGGTGAATTTTCATACTTTCGACAATTTAGAAAAACCAATGTGGAGAACTACACTTAAGATCTGAAAATGAGAAACTGAACAGGGACCAAATATGGACAAGGTTTTGCCCATCCTGAATGCAGACACAGCCTCAACTGCCTTGCGAAGAGCAGGTAGGTTTTTATGAGGCAGAGAGCCTTCTTGGTAGTGGTACCCACCCTGTGGAATCCCCTTCCACCGGATGTCAAACAGATAAACAACTGCTCGACTTTCATAGACATCTGAAGGCAGCCTGGTATCGGGAAGTTTTTAACATTTGATGTGTTTTTATATTATGTTGGAAGCCTTCTAGAGGGGCTGGGGCAACCCAGTTAGATGGGTGGAGTGTAAGTAATAAATTATTACTATTATTATACCTGATTACGGGCGTTGGCATGGGATGGCTGGGTCCTGTCATCTGCAAGAAGATTGGGCAGCCTTTCACAGTCATTCGGATGGGGATCAACATCGGCTCCGATTCCCCCACCTGTACAGAGAAAGAAATATTTTGCATGTAAGCAATGGAACCCAGCTGCTAAATCCTGAGGCCTCCTGGGAGACAAATGATTCACAGGCATTCTTTCCTTTTACACGCAAGAAAAGACTTGCTTATTGCAGATAACTGACTGCGCTGAAGGGAATGTGCACACCTTCAGATGCGGCACGGCTGGTCTGCCGCTTGTCGCAACCTTGTGAACAAGGCTCAGTGTACGGCTCCTCTTCCCACATCCAGACAAAGCCCAAGCAAACCACAAAGTGTCTGTCATTCTGAGCTCCAAACTCCCTGGGTGCGAACTATGCCACCCACCAGCGACTCATACACCCATTTCCTTAATACAGTGGGGGGCTCCTCCTCTAGTAGGTGGAACACTCTGCCACAAGAGATCAGGGCCCTGTGGGATTTGACATCTTTCCGCAGGGCCTACAAGACGGAGTTGTTCCGCCAGGCCTTTGGTCAGGGCCAGCCTGACTCCCCTTCTCTTTTGTATAAGAATAGTATGAAAGAGTCCCAGCATTCTCACAGACCCATATAAGAACAGCGTAAAACAGTTGGGCCAGATGAGCATTTACCATACTGTTCCCAACCCCAATCCTGCGGAAAGCCATCTACAGTGGTGCCCCGCAAGACGAATGCCTCGTGAGACGAAAAACTCGCTAGACGAAAGGGTTTTCCGTTTTTTGAGTTGTTCTGCAAGACGAATTTCCCTATGGGCTTGCTTCGCAAGACGAAACGTCTTGCGAGTTCTTGCGAGTTTGTTTCCTTTTTCTTAAAGCCGCTAAGCCATTAATAGCCGCTAAGCCGCTAATAGCCGCTAAGCCGCTAATAGCCGTGCTTCGCAAGACGAAAAAACCGCTAGACGAAGAGACTCGCGGAACAGATTAATTTTGTCTTGCGAGGCACCACTGTAATTAGATTTTAATTTGATCCTGACTTGTTTTTAGGAGGTAATTGTTTGATTTTATACCAATGTTATATATTTGATGTTAGCCGCCCTGAGCCCAGTTTTGGCCAGGGAGGGCGGGATACAAATAAAAAATTATTATTATTATTTATTATTAAGTGGGGGCACAGACTTTCGGTGCATTCCTATGCATGCTTACTCGAAAGCAAGCCCCACTCTGCTCAATGATGCTGAACTCTCAGTTAAGCTTCGGTCTTCCCAACCTCCAGGTCAGAGCTGCAACCCCTGGACCACGCACCTTACAGATGAGGGTGTCCTCATATTGCCCCCACATGTTGTTATAAGCTGTTATATTGACCACAAGCTCCTCGAAGGCCTTCAGGATCCCCTCAGAGGGGTGTACGTGGAAAGTCGCTCCCTTTCCGTGAGATAGCATGGCAGCTCTGAAGGCTGTAAGACCAGAGCAGATGAACAGTTTGGCAGCAAGGCAATGGGACTGGAACAGGAGAGCCTCTTGTCAGATCACATCCAGCGGCACTTTTTTCAATTTATCCCTGCATTCCGCCCCCCACCGCCACTTACCCACAATGCATCTGAAAATATAGAAATGGCAGACTCTGCCTACCTGATTGTTTCCTCTTTGCAGCCTGCCTCGTTATTCGCCTTGTGGTTTCCACGACAGCTTTGGAGGAGCTTGGAAAAAGATGTCTCAGTGAGAACTCTGAAGGGTGCAGGGATTTCTTAAAATGTCATGCTTTAAGTTTTCAAGAGCCCGGTGCCCTCCATAGCTTGCCCCAACCAGCACAGCTGTGTTAGCCACTTGCCCGAGGCCAGCCGGGTGAATCAATATTTACTACTGAAAATGATTATCGTTCAGATTTAGCTAAAGGTAAAGGTAAAGGGACCCCTGACCATTAGGTCCAGTCGTGACCGACTCTGGGGTTACGGCGCTCATCTCGCTTTACTGGCCGAGGGAGCCTGCGTACAGCTTCTGGGTCATGTGGCCAGCATGACTAAGCCGCTTCTGGCGAACCAGAGCAGCACACGAAAATGCTGTTTACCTTCCCACCAGAGCGGTACCTATTTATCTACTTGCACTTTGATGTGCTTTCGAACTGCTAGGTGGGCAGGAGCTGGGACCGAGCAACGGGAGCTCACCCCATCGTGGGGATTCGAACCGCTGACCTTCTGATCGGCAAGTCCTAGGCTCTGTGGTTTAACCCACAGCGCCACCCGCGTCCCTTCAGACTTAGCTACCCATCTTTAAAAGGGGTATCATATCAGCTTTCCTCCCAATATCAGCTTTCCTCACATGGGAAAGCGGCCGGATTAAGTGAGCCATACCACATCTAGATTATGTGATGGGGATGGAGAACAAGCTGCTAGGATGGGGTGGAAGGTGAGTGCAGCCACCCATTGCCTTGCACTAGATGACCCTCAGGATACCTTCCAACTCTATAATTAGGTGCCCTACCCAAAGTTACCACGGTGTTGGGTGATTCAATTTCAATGGAAAAAACCTCCACTCCCAGCTCTTTCTTTCTTCACATTTTCAATCCCAGTGGAGGGTTGCAGTCAGTGCCATTTATATATATGTATATATACTTTTCAAGTTTGTACATTTCACTCATTGTACAACCATTTTGACATTTCAAAACTTGACTTGCTTCCCCCTCTTTCTGAGGTTCCTTAAGTTTGTTTTTAATACCTTCTGCATATCTAAATTAACTTAATTTACTCATCTTCTTTAAATATATACTCTTATAAAACTGCAGGTTATTACAAGTTGGCAGCTCCTGGTTTCCTAATGAAGAAAACGAGTAAGGCCTGCAACAAAATGTTGCAGTGGATCTCCAATTCTGTGCTCTTAACAGGAGCTTTTGTGGTGCTTATCAGATTGTGGGTGTTGATTTAGGAGGAAAGGGTAAGGAAGATTTCCCCTGTTGTGTTATTTATTTACAGTAGGGATGTGGGTGGCGTTGTGGTCTAAACCACTGAGCCTCTTGGGCTTGCCAATCAGAAGGTAGGCGGTTCGAATCCGCACAACGGGGTGAGCTCCCGTTGCTGTGTCCTAGCTCCTGCCATCCTAGCAGTTCGAAAGCACGCCAGTGCAAGTAGATAAATAGGTACCGCTGCGGTGGGAAGGTAAACGGCATTTCCGTGCACTGTGGTTTCCGTCACGGTGTCCCATTGCGCCAGAAGCGGTTTAGTCATGCCGGCCACAGGACCCAGAAAGCAGTCTGTGGACAAATTCCGGCTCCCTCAGCCTGAAAGCAAGATGAGCGCCGCAACCCCATAGTCGCCTTTGACTGGACTTAACCTTCCAGGGGTTCTTTACCGTTTTTTTTTTACCCTTATTTACAGTGCTCCTATTCAAGAGGATTTCATCAAACTGTTTATTTACATAGGGTTGTTACAATGATAAGCACTGATCTAAAAGGGTACAATATCGGGACGCGGGTGGCGCTGTGGGTAAAACCTCAGCGCCTAGGACTTGCCGATCGTCAGGTCGGCGGTTCGAATCCCCGCAGCGGGGTGCGCTCCCGTTCCTCGGTCCCAGCGCCTGCCAACCTAGCAGTTCGAAAGCACGTCAAAGTGCAAGTAGATAAATAGGGACCGCTTACTAGCGGGAAGGTAAAGGGCATTTCCGTGTGCTGCGCTGGCTCACCAGATGCAGCTTGTCACGCTGGCCACGTGACCCGGAAGTCTCTTCGGACAGCGCTGGCCCCCGGCCTCTTAAGCGAGATGGGCGCGCAACCCCAGAGTCGGACACGACTGGCCCGTACGGGCAGGGGTACCTTTACCTTTACCTTTAAAAGGGTACAATAGAATGGAAAAGACAACTTGTTTGTTCAGGAAAGGCCATTCCTGTTTCTTCCCACCCTGCATCAAGGCAAGGTGGTTCTGCAGAAGCCTCTGTGGTGGCCTTTGTGGTATAGGGAAGCCACTCTGGGAGCTGGATGGGGGCAATTCCCCAAGCTTCTTTCTTCTCTTACGTAGTGCTGGAGGACTTAGGAACTTGAGCGTTTTATGGTTATAGAGTAAAAGTTTGGGTTCTGAGAGAAAGGGGAAATACTTCCTTTTTTCTTTCCTTTCTCTTGAAAAAGGATGTTAGAGGTTTTATGAAGCCTATTGCCTCTGTCCCCTGCTACCTCCCAGTTCCCTTTCCTTTTTGTTTTTGCTCAACTGACAAGTCAATATTTTGCATTTCCTGAAAGCTCACAACTTTTTGTTTTTTTCTTAAAAAAAAATATTTTTCTTTTAATTTACAAACGTATATTTCAGCATATCTAGGGAGCTTCCGCCCCCCACAACAGAGATGCCCCCAAAGTAAGTAACAGGGACTTGAAGCTCTTATTAGTAAATATTATTTCTTCTCACCACTAATCAGGGTGAAATGGAAGAAAAGGAGGCTTACACTTACAACAGAAAATATTTCTCCAATAAAAAACAACCCCCCACAAACAGACTCTCGCACATATGATCTAAGACTTACCCATCTTGCCCCTGTTCATCTGAGGGAAGTGGACCTGGTTGGCTGAAATACTCAACCCCTACTGAGAACAGAGCAGCTAACTCAGAGTGATTGGTAATTATTAGCTGGTGTTTTATCACACTTTTCAATGCCACTTCCGAGCCGAAGTCTAGCATCAGATCTTGAGAAGATTCCGAATTTTGCTCCTCAACACTGCAGAGAAACAGCAACAGACGCTAAATGGACTCCCTCGTTTGCCAGCAAGACGCTTTCAGAGACATAACGGTTGTCAAAAGAAAGATGAATGTGAAAACGAGCAATTATATTGGGCTTCCATGAACAGTTTAGTGGAAATACAAGTAAAATGCTTCTTTATACCCTAGCTAATATAATCCAAAGAAAGCGTCATTTTGAGCCACTAGTAATTAATAGCTATATTTCACTAAGCTATTAACTGTAAGTTTCCTTCACCTGTCAGAAGGTATGGAGTAGGTGATTCTGAGCCCCTTAACTTCACCAGAAATTGCCAAAAATAGGGGGTCCAACATGTCTTCGATGCTACAGCACAGGGCAAGGTCACTCAGTTTCTCCTGGCAGAAAAAGAATTAGACCTTCGTGTAAGAATCATCAACAGCAGGCCAAAGAGCAAATGTCATCAGGAGGACTAAATCTGGAGGGAACACTTCCAAGTCACAAGCAAAAAGACACACCCATTTAATATGATAGACATACAGTGGTGCCTCGCAAGACGAAATTAATTCGTTCCGCAAGTTTTGTCGTCTTGCGATTTTTCCGTCTTGCGAAGCACGGTTTCCCATAGGAATGCATTGAAAATCAATTAATGCGTTCCTATGGAAACCGACTTCAGACCAGGTCCGGGGACAGTCTGTCCCCCGACCTCTTCTGAAGGCTGGGGGGGGACCAAGGGCTTTTCTTCCCACCCCCAGCATTTTAAAAAACCCCGGGACAGCGGGGGACTTCTCCGCTGTCCGGGGCAATCTTAAAATGCTGGCGGGCGGGAGCGAAGCCTCCGCTGCCGCCCGCCAGCATTTTAAAAAGCCCCGGGACAGTGGGGGACTTCTCCGCTGTCCCGGGGCGATTTAAAAGCCCCCGGGAAGGCAGGCAGGGGGGAGCAAAGACTTTCGCCCCCCGCCGGCCTTCAGAAGAGGTCCAGGACCTCTTCTGAAGGCGGGCGGGGGGCGAAAGTCTATGCTCCCCCCCGCCTGCCTTCAAAAGCCGTCCGGGACAGCGGAGAAACACACTACGTTTCTCCGCTCTCCTGGGAAGGCAGGCAGGGGGGAGCAAAGACTTTCGCCCCCCGCCAGCCTTCAGAAGAGGTCCTGGACCTCTTCTGAAGGCCGGCGGGGGGCAAAAGTCTTTGCTCCCCCCTGCCTGCCTTCAAAAGCCGTTCGGGATAGCGGAGAAACGAAGGCTGGTGGCGGGAGGAGGTCTCTCCGCCCGCCGCCAGCCTTCGGAGGAGGTCCGAGGACAGTGGGGAAGACGCGCTGCGCTTCCCCGCTGTCCCGGAGATTTCCCTATGGGCTTTCGTCTTGCGAAGGAAGCCCATAGGGAAATTCGTTTTGCGAAGCGCCTCCAAAACGGAAAACCCTTTCGTCTAGCGGGTTTTCCGTCTTGCGAGGCGTTCGTCTTGCGGGGCACCACTGTATTGGAATGCAATGAAAGAAGAAGAAAAAGGGAGAAAGGTTTTACCAAAACCAATTTTGCCATAGAAAAGAAAATGAATCGTAGTTTATTTGGCTACTGTTATGAGTTTGGGATGTTAACCTGTGTGCCAGGCCCTTCTAATCTATGTGTCCAGCAAGTCTTAAAATCTAACCAAGTCTCTAATTCCTGGAATAGCCAGGCTAGCCTCCTGGTGAGGTGTAAGGAGAACGAAGGGGCTCTGTGGGACGTGGGAAAGAGGACCTTCCCTCAACTCATGGATCGTTAGAAAGACAGAGCCAGAGTTGAAAGTAGAGAGTGGCAGTGACGTGAGCCGGAGGAAAAAGCAGCAGAGGAGAGAGAGAGGCGGGGCAAGGTTTGACGTCTGTCTGAATCCAAGGCTACTGCTATGGAAGAAACAAGGGCCTTTTGGGGGGTTGATGCTGTGAACCCCTCTGTCATAGGCTCAGGTTGTAGATATGTGTAAAATAAACCATATACCATAGAGGCACCACAGCCTCCACTGTGCCTCATCCCCAAAAGGAAAGATGGGTGAGTGCCTGGAATCTTGCACCGTTTTGAGATTGGGGTGACTATTATTCAACACACTTTTATCTGCCTCCCCCCCATGGCACCTGCAGAGCTTTTAATTGTTTAAACGCACACAGTAAAAATCCAACGAAGATTATTTGAACAATCAACAATAGCAAAAAAATTAATAGGACAGCAGTTAAAATACAGAAGCAGCAGATAAAATCAGTTGTAGGAAAGAAGGAGCTCTTGTTTCTTTGACTGCATCATTGCTCCCCTGCAGGTGGTTGTGTGGAGGGGGAGGCAAAGTTGGTGTGGTGCAATTATTATTATTATTATTATTATTACTACTACTATCATTACTATCATTATTATTATTTTTAAAATACATACACCGTCCTTTATCTGAGTATCTCAGGGTAAAAATACAGGATAAAAGCACAAAATAGTTAAAACAAAAACAAAACAATAACCCCCTTTCTGGCTTTCCTCCTCTCCATTTCCTCCTCACAAGAACCCTGTGAGGTAGGTTAGGCAGAGAGGCAGTGATTGGTGAGCTTTGTGGCCAAGTGAGGATTCGAACCCTGGTCTCCCGAGTCCTAGTCCAGCACTCTAACCACTGCACCACAGTGATGGTCCCAGAGGTCATCAACATCAGCATCCCACCCCATTTTGGGGGTCATAGACAAGAGGCTTGTCTACGAACAAATGAATCAGCAACCGCAATGTTATTCTGCATTTTGAAAGCCAAGTACTTCTAAAACAAAAACCCTAACCTTAACATTCGTAGTTATCACCACACGCAATTCCTTCGTTTCGTTGGGACCCAAAGTGCCACTTTCCGGAGAGATGCTGAGCTCGCAGGAAGAAGCTTGGCTTCCAAGGAGCTGTCGGACAAATCAGGAAGGCTGGTCAGTTAACAGGAGGCAGCGGGACGCTCTTCTGACTAGTCAGGAGTAGGAGCACCACTGACCTCGCCCCACTGGAAGCGCGACGGGAGCAGCGTCTGGTTAAAAAGATGAACGGTTGCTTCCGCGGGGATTCCAACCGAGAGGTCAAAATGCAAATGACTCGACAGCAGGCAGACGTGGGGAGTCTGGACTTCCACAAAAACAAGGATGTGACTGGAAACACAAGAAAGTATATGAGCTCCAGCAGTAGGTAGTGAATAAACACTTATCTTCCATAGAAGGGCAGTTTGAATTAGCATGTGAAATTCAGCCCCCTCTCTGCTGTAAGTGTCCCTTTAAGATTGCCATGGCTGCAATGATGGCAGCCTGGGCATCATTCATCCAAAGCTACAGGAGCCCCTATGCTGATAGCATACAACCTTTCCTGTTCCTAACTCCTTTTGATACAGGGGAGAGGTATTTTTCTCAACAGGTCCAACATGTGTCCCAATGGCCGCATGTGGTCCCCAAAGGTCTTTTTTGGCAGTCCATGACATCTGATGCCCTGCAGCCCTTGCGCTGCCTTCCCAGACCCAGGTAAGCGAGTCGCTGGGCTTTGGGAAGGAGGCATGAGGGCTCTGACAAGGTCCTAGAGTCCTCCAACCTCCTTCCCAAAGCCTAGCCAGCTTTGGGAGGGATCTAGGATCCTGCCAGAGCCTCGTGTCTCCTTCCCAAAGCCTGGTACCTTGCTTAGCTGGCTTTTGGAAGGCAGCATGAGGGCTGGGGTATCCTCCAATTTTGACCTAGCTCCTCAAACCCCCAAGGAACAAAACCATGTGCAGCCTGCGGGGTCTGTATCGAAGTACTCTTGTGGCCCACTCGGGATGAAAAGTTGGACTGCCCAGTTCTAAAAGGAGCCCCTCCCTCTGGGCCACCCATGCTCCCATTTTTTTTTATTATTATTATTATTATTATTATTATTATTATTATTATTATTTCAATTCATGTACCTCCTTTTATCAAAAGATCCCAGGGCAGTGCACAACATTAAGAACATGTTTTAAGGAGCACAATAATAAAAACATAATAAATGAATAACAGACAGAGTAATAATAAAATAATCATAATAACAGTCCCATTCCCTCCCAGCTTTAACAAACCATAGATTATTTAATGGCCAAAGGCCTGGGTAAATAGGACAGTTTCTGCCTGGCACCACATGACCAACTGCCACATGACCAACGCTATAGGACCCTTTCTGCAGCAGAGATGGAAATGTTCTCTTGAAATGCCCTCTGGGAGACTGAGGAGAGATTACCAGAATAGTCTCTAACCCATTTCATGTCCTCACCTTCCAACTCCATTTTCCACCTCCATCTCTAACACGGTCTTAAGACGTTGACACATGTATGATGTAAACAAAACAGAGACCTTGCACTTGCCGAGAGGATACAATTCTCCACTACGTGGCTGAAATTTGAACGGAGAGGTCTGCAGGGGGGAAACCCAAGAGCCATTGTAATTCCATGAACAGAGGTCTGGACATCAAAAGTCTTCCATTCAATGCCCTGCCTTTGGACGAGGCACAGGAAGGGAAATGGCCAAATTCTGATCTCAGAGCAACACACCTCTTCATTTCTTTCCGCTAAGCAAGCAGGGCTTTCCTGAATTTTCCACTTCCCTGGCAGCTGACTTAGATTTTCTATCTGAAACGTGAACCGCACTTTTTCTCCCAGTTTAAGCAGGCCCAGGTCAAAGGATGGGACGTCAATGGAAAGAACAGGTCCCTGAGAAAAGCCAACCACATAAAACAGGTCAGCTACCACCACAAAAGTCTCAATGAAAAGCATCCAAAATACAAGGTTATGCATGCTGAAATTGACTAACACACCAGCACTGAGTGAAACACTGGGGTGGGGACTGTGGAACTCTCTGCTGGGGGCAGCCGAGTCCGATGGAAGGCCGCAAGCACTGTGTGGGGAGGGGGGCATCCCTCTGGCACAAAGCACATGGCTTCTCTCACCCCAAGGGCCAAGACAATAAGGCAGCTTTGTAGGCTCAGATATTCCCACCTTAAAGTCGGCTTCCACGTGCAATACCACGGGCTCTTTGGAGTGAGTGATTTTGCACCGCAGATCATGGCAGGAATGCCCAGGTTTCCCTCCGGTAATGGTGAACTCAAACTCTTGGAATTCATTTACCCCTAGAGAAGACAAATCTGTTACTTCCATCTGGGGGGGAAATGATCATAGGTGTTGTTTTTTCAAAGCCTAATGGTTTCCCAAAACCAACATCATTACCCAAAACACGTACCATGGCCTTCTCATGATAGTGGCATATGCACTTATGCATACAGTGGTACCTTGGGCTAAGAACTTAATTCGTTCTGGAGGTCCGTTCTTAACCTGAAACTGTTCTTAACCTGAGGTACCACTTTAGCTAATGGGGCCTCCCGCTGCCGCTGTGCTGCCGCCACACGATTTCTGTTCTCATCCTGAAGCAAAGTTCTTAACCCGAGGTACTATTTCTGGGTTAGCGGAGTCTGTAACCTGAAGCATCTGTAATCCGAGGTACCACTGTATAATCTTTCCTCCCCACCCCGTTCTCCTTGTCTTATGATGGGCCTAGCGCTAGGGAGTATCAAGAACATACATATCCAATGATAATGTAAGAAGCCCTGGCAACAAGCCCTCTAGCCTGGTGCTGCTGCTTTTTAACGCCAGGCCAGGCCACAATTAAAGAACACTCATTCATGATTTGGTCATGGATGGGGAGATAATGCCCAGGTGCATATTGCTGAGACCTGGGCAGGTGAGATGGGTGGGGTTTGAGTGGCCCAGCTGTGTGTGTCCAGGTTCTCAGCACAGCACCGGGCCAGGCTGGAGGACTGGGGTAGGGTGGGGGGTGGGGAATTTGCTCCCCCTTTCTCACCAGGAAGCCCCTCTGCCCAGATTAATGCAGTGTGTGCAACACAGATGCAACAGACAGAAAAAGCGTTACCTAATTTTCCAGAATAAGGTTCAACTTCAACTATGTCGCAATCACTTATTTTCTCCCATGTAAACCTGACGGACGATTTGCTGTTATTGTACATCTGGAGATTCATAAATGAACAGACAGTCAATGCCGTTATATGACCAAATCACCATTTCCAGACTTCTGAAGTAACCAAAGGCAGGTGCGCCAGGTAGATACGAAACACAAACCCACAGATTAATACTTCATTAGTATTCATATATGAATATGAGACTATTTAGAATTGAATGGTGGTAGCGGAGATTAAAGGGATAAGGAAAAGTAATACATTTTTCTTATATACAGGGTGTAAGGGGCGGTGATCCATAACATAAAAGATAACATAAAAGTGGGTTCTTACACCTAGAAATATAAAGCCAAAGCCTAGCTCTAAAGGTAAAGGTAAAGGTACCCCTGCCCGTACGGGCCAGTCTTTACAGACTCTAGGGTTGTGCGCCCATCTCACTCTATAGGCCGGGGGCCAGCGCTGTCCGCAGACACTTCCGGGTCACGTGGCCAGCGTGACAAGCTGCATCTGGCAAGCCAGCGCAGCACACATTAAAAGCCTAGCTCTACATGAGAGCAATTTAATCTGCTTGCATTGTTCCATTTGCAGAGTTTAGAATTATTTTCTGACATGTGTGAAGGTGAAGGAAGACACACAAGACCATGGACAAGCATCAGGCTTCCTTCCCAGGCAATGTTCCAGACTACAAAAGAAATAGATTTCACACTTAAATAGGAGGCTTCCAAGCTCACGGAACAGACACGGCCTCCAAACAGCACAACCAACTCGTAGGGCTGTTTGCTGCCTTCCAGGTTACAGAGGCCTGACTGCCTCAACTCGAAATTGGGGATTTAGTGTCACTGGTCCCGCACCTGACAGGACACACTCCAAGCAGAGATTTGGCAGGTGTCTCTTGTCCTTAACCTTATCTATGCCAACAGGACTTTGCAGCCAGTTATACAGTGGTGCCTTGCAAGACGAAATTAATTCGTTCCGCGAGTTTTTTTGTCTTGGGATTTTTTCGTCTTGCGAAGCACGGTGTCGGGAAAGTTTTGGAAAAGCTTCAAAAATCACCAAAGTCTTCAAAAACCTCAAAAAAGGCTACCACACTATGAGTGGTAGCTATGAGTTGCTCCTCGAAGTCAAGTCGCAACTGTATTAACGGTGTTAAGAAAAAGGAAACAAACTTGCAAGACGTTTCCGTCTTGCGAAGCAAGCCCATAGGGAAAATCGTCTTGCGAAGCAGCTCAAAAAACCAAAAACCCTTTCGTCTTGCGAGTTTTCCGTCTTGCGAGGCATTCGTCTTGCGAGGTACCACTGTATATTTTTCATTAGCCTGTCATTTTAAGGATTAAATGCATTTTTATTTTGTGAGTGGTGTTTTATATTCTTACGTTGTACACCACACTATTGATGCACAACGATACTTTTCGGCAATCGATCAATGCATACATATACTGGCTGAAGTAAAAGTAGACTTACGCTAAATGTTCTCCTAACATTTACACCAATGTAGTTTTCTCCTGGGATGATCATGGCATAGGGCTCCAAAAGGATCTGGAAGGGTTCTGTATCGCCTTTGACGTCTATTTCCAAAGCAATCACGTCTTCTTGATGCCTTTCTCCGATTTCGTACTGCTCCCGTTTTTGAGGGCTGCATGAGGGATGGCGTCAGAATTGCTGCTGTTGTGGATATTTAGAATAGCATAAAGGATGTGATTCCCATCCCAGCAGGGGGGAAAAAGACTGCTCTTCCTTCTCTTGGCACATTCAGGTCTACGCCTCTCTGTTTCTTATGCTTTGCCCCCTCGCTTGGGAGAAAACCCCTCTGAATGTGATGGGATAGAGACTGACTAAACATGCAGAGGAACGGAATTCAGGAAGCAGGGTGGATAAAAATAAATGACTTTTTTTTAAATAAAAAATTGGATTTTAAAAATTTAAATCAGATTTTTTAAAAATTTAATTGGATTTTTTAAATTTAAATTGGGTTTTTAAAATAAAATGCTTTTGGAGGAAAAATCTTTCTAAATATAGTTTTCTATTTAAATTACATTATAGTCCAAAGGCTATTCATCTGGAAATAAGGATTTGTTTTAAGTTTTTCGTGTGTGCTAAAACTCAGTCTAAGTTTTGGGGTTTTTTATTTTTTATTTTTTGACTACATTAGTTAACAAACATGGATACATATGCTATAATGTTATTGTTTTGGTTAAATAAATTGTTATTAAGGAAATGATTATTTTTCACCTTCCAATAAAGTACAGAAGAAAAGTTGTCCAAATAAATTAAACCTCACAATAATTTCATAATTATCTGTCTACGTATTTCTAATAGTATAACCAAATCAGTAATTTTTGATATAACTGTAAAAAGCTACTCTGAAAATATTTATTATTCCAAAAATGAAACCTTCATCTGGTTGTAAATATTAAGATTATACCAGCAAGAATGAGTCTTTCTGTAAAAAAAATTGATTTAAATCAAGTCTTACTGACTAGTGATTTAAATCCACCATGTCAGTACGTAAACCTGCCTCGCCCCTTTTGCCATGAATGCAAAGGACCTGTGAGGTGCCTGGCACAATCCACCAAAATTAAGCACAGCTAAATGGCTAAAGTCGTCATGAGACCAGGGAAGCCCCCAAATCTGCTATTAGGTGGGGGTGGAGTGGGACCAGGGTTGAGTCGGAAACAAATGCAACATGTGTGTATCCATGCTTGTGTTTGTGTGGCAGCGCGCACACAGTTCAGCAATAAGGTGCTAAATAAGGCAAAGGAGGAAGGTGCCATTAGGACAATAAATTCATCTCTCGGACCAACACAGTAACAAGAATGCCAACCATCTCCGGCCCAATTTAAGAACATTTTCACGTGCCCCTGATGCATCACTTACTCAGGTAGCTCTGGGATATCTTCCAGCACAATCTGAAGCACGCTGTGATACGACTTTGGCTGCAAGGAGAACGAAAACCCAGAACGGCAATCAACTAATGTACATCAAAATAACTCCCAAAATAATCTACGGCTTACGTTAAGTGCATTTGACTCTGGGCTGCAAGAGATCAAAACCTCTTGTAGTTTAAACAGCTGAGGCTTCAGGTAAGACTGAGAGCCATTTTGCACCAAGTGTTCTCTCGCCATGGAGCTGGAAGCAGCCACACCCACCCTGGCATGTGCCCCCAAGTCAAGGCTGAAGGTGGGCTTGGGCCCCAAACAGCCACCCCAGACCCACACAAGCCAATCTCAGCTCAGTAGCCAGGTGTGGGAGCCCACAAGGAAGACAAGGGATTTCTTGGTTTTGCTAATTGTCTCACACCAAAACCGGTGCCAAGAATGTGTCTGGCCACAGTAAATGGGTAGAGAGAGCTTGGCTTGGCAGGTAGAATCATAGAATCATAGAGTTGGAAGAGACCACAAGGGCCATCGAGTCCAACCCCCTGCCAAGCAGGAAACACCATCAGAGCACTCCTGACATATGGTTGTCAAGCCTCTGCTTAAAGACCTCCAAAGGAGGAGACTCCACCACACTCCTTGGCAGCAAATTCCACTGTCAAACAGCTCTTACTGTCAGGAAGTTCTTCCTAATGTTTAGGTGGAATCTTCTTTCTTGTAGTTTGGATCCATTGCTCCGTGTCCGCTTCTCTGGAGCAGCAGAAAACAACCTTTCTCCCTCCTCTATATGACATCATTTTATATATTTGAACATGGCTATCATACCACCCCTTAACCTCCTCTTCTCCAGGCTAAACATGCCCAGCTCCCTTAGCCGTTCCTCATAAGGCATCGTTTCCAGGCCTTTGACCATTTTGGTTGCCCTCCTCTGGACACGTTCCAGTTTCTCAGTGTCCTTCTTGAACTGTGGTGCCCAGAACTGGACACAGTACTCCAGGTGAGGTCTGACCAGAGCAGAATACAGTGGCACTATGACTTCCCTTGATCTAGATGCTATACTCCTATTGATGCAGCCCAGAATTGCATTGGCTTTTTTAGCTGCCGCGTCACACTGTTGGCTCATGTCAAGTTTTTGGTCAACCAAGACTCCTAGATCCTTTTCACATGTACTGCTCTCAAGCCAGGTGTCCAAGGTAACAAGTTTGGAAGGCAAATTTTCAATGAAGTTTGGAAGAAGAAGTAGTAGTTAGCCAGGCCTGATTCATACCAGCCTACAGAGCACATATGGGACGCGGGTGGCACTGTGGTCTAAACCACAGAGCCTAGGGCTTGATGACCAGAAGGTCGGTGGTTCAAATCCCTGCGACGGGGTGAGCTCCCATTGCTCGGTCCCAGCTCCTGCCCACCTAGCAGTTTGAAAGCATGTCAAACTGCAAGTAGATAAATAGATACGGCTCCGGCGGGAAGGTAAATGACGTTTCCATGCGCTGCTCTGGTTCGCCAGAAGCGGCTTAGTCATGTTGCGGACAAACACTGGCTCCCTCAGCCTATAGAGCGAGATAAGCGCGCAACCCCAGAGTCGTCCGCAACTGGACCTAATGGTCAGGGGTATCTTTACCTTTACTGAGCACATATATAATGTAATCTAAGAATGACTTTTAGCGTGGAAAGCAATAAACTCATTTGCTTTTGAGTTTCATTCAGACCCTTTAGTAGCTGCTGGTTAAACTTTTGTCCAACAAATTGCACAGTATAGATGGCAAATATTGAACCAACCAAGTACAAGCAAGACTGTACCTCCTCTGGATGGTAAGAGAGAGTAAAGGAGTGATTACTATGGGGGTGCAGAACCCCCATGGCAGGAGTCACAGAGAAAGCGGACTCCGTCTCCAAGTTGTACTTTATCTTTGTCAGGTCCGCTTTTCCTTCCAACATTGATGCCTGCAGATTAGGCTTCATTATCTGCCAGAAAAAAGGGAAATCCACGTGGCTGAGCAAAGAGAAGGGAAAAAGAAGGCATTCAATTCTGCAGTTTTGGGCTAAACATTTAGGAAAATTACATTTTTAGGGTACCTTTTAATTAGCCCCCCTCCCCCAAAATAAGGGACTTAAGTATTTGCCTTTGTTAGTCCCCATCCCCATCTTGAGGATATAGAACCAGAGCATCTGCTCCAAGAGAAATGGCTCAACTCCCATGTATTGTCTATTTTAATAGAAGTTTGGCATCAGAAATTGTACCTCCGTCATTCCATGCCCCCCCTCCCCATCCTAATTTTCTAGTTTTCACAAACCATAATTTACCTTCAAACCAGAATGAGAATTCCGAATCATGTGATTTTCTCCCTCAGTGTGTGTTTGGAGGTAAATTTTTCAAAACCACAGTTTACCCAATTCAGAGGTCACAACAAACTGTTGCTTGTTCAAACCAGGAAGTCAGGGACACAGTTGGAGCACAAGGGGTGGGGGGACAAGATGGAACATATGAGAGCAATGTGTCATCCCTCAGCAGCTAGCCCTATGGGAGGTGAACTAAACCTCTAAGGAACTTGTCGTTAAAGCGCTGTGTACGCAATAATTGTAATGGATTATCCTAAAATAAATATTGTTCAGTGCAAAGACAACTGGCTTCTGCCCAGAAAAATGCCCCCCATACAGTTTTAGCATCATACATACGTCAGATTTCTTAGAACCAGAGTTTTCTCTGCCTTAGATTTGGGATTCAAAGAACCAAAGCGCACAAGGTGTTTAGCTGTCACATCGACAAGCTCGCCGGGCATAGGGCTGCTTTCTCCTCCAGTAACAGACAAAAGCTTCAGAGCTATCAGCTGCCCAAGTCCTGGAAACAAAAGTGAACGCAAACATCCTGCGGCAAATGCACCTGACTGAGCTTATGCCCTTCCAATGCGACTACCCAGTTGCATTATGGGTATAACACATGACCCCCATCAGACCATAGGAAACTGCAGTAGTGTCTCTCCCAGAGAGAAGGAGCACGTGGCTCTCCAGATGTGGTTGGACTCCAGCCCAAGCCAAATGACCAATAATCAGGGTTGATGGGAGTTGTAGTCCAGCAACATCTGCAAAGTCATAGATTTCCCCCATCCCACCCTAGTTGGCGGCAGCTCTCCAAAGTCTCAGAACGTGATCTGTTTTGAAAGCTACTGTGGGGTAGCAGCTAGAGCATCACACCAGGGACCTAGGAGACCAGGGTTCGAATGCCTACTTGGCCATGAAGCTCCCTGGGCAACCCGGGCCTGTCACTGTCTCTTAGCCTCATCTACCTCACAGAGTTATGGGGAGGAGGAAATGGGGAGGAGGGAAACTATGCATGCCACCTTGGGCAGAAAGACGGAACAGCTCTGTCGGTTAGAGCATGGTGTTGACAACACCAAGGCTGCAGGTTTGATCCCCATATGGGGAAGCTGCATATTTCTGCATTGCAGGGGGTTGGACTAGAGTGGTAGTTCTCAACCTGTGGGTCCCCAGATGTTGTTGGACTACAACTCTCATCATTCCTAGCCAGCATGACCAGCGGTCAGGGATGATGGGAGTTGTAGTCCAACAACATCTGGGGACCCACAGGTTGAGAACCACTGGACTAGAGGATCCTCGGGGGCCCTTCCAACTCTATAAGAAATAAATGAACAGGCTGGCCATACGGAGGTGAGGCAAGATTTCAATGGACACCAACAGCGGAGTTCAAAGCCATTTCAGGAACAGGAATCCTCAGATTGGGCCATACGTATCTCAGCTGTTAGCTCGCTAGTCTCCTGATTTAACAGAGACCCAGCCTGCTTTGGCAGCTGTTGGTTCTGATGGAACAGAGAAGGTTGTGATTCCAACAGAGCATCAAAGCTAGGAGCCTCAGAGGACAGCAACACAACTTCCTTAGGCCCAAGAGGCGCTGTGCAACAGGCTACCCGTCCACCAATAGCTCAGGGTCTGTATGCACATCTGGGGGGGATAGCTAGGAGGGCCATTTCCTGCCCTACCTCGAAACCCCAACCTCATCCCCGAAAACGTGGTGCCTGTCTCCAGAGTCATGACAGATCAAGGTCTTTTGCCAGAGCTACCACCTGAGAATCTTGTTGGCAACAGCAAATGCTAAACTGCATTCACAGCACGTGCTATGCCATGGAGATACTGGATTTTCCAGGAGGCTTGATTTGCATTCAGGTGTCATCTAAGCTGACAACGGACTGCACAGCTGTCCTCCAACCACTGTGAATTAAGAGGACCCTCCAAGAGGACAATTAGGGATGGGCAAATCTGTCAGTTTTCATTTCTCTTGCTCAGTTCTTCACTTTTCCACTTCAGTTTGTGAAATTTAATTTTTTTTAAAGTCCTAGTGAAAAATCACCAGTGCTTTAGTTTGACCGTTTCCCAACACACATTTTTCTATGCAATTTCACCCAATATAATGCATTTTGTATATTGCTTGCACTAATTATATGTATTTCCACACACACTTAACCTTAGTATATGTTGTTGTTTTTTTGCACACACTGCTTGGTTGGAGAACCACACTGCAAAATACAGAGAAAAGTGTGGTTTGAAAAGGATGGTTTCACAATTTCAGGCAGCGTGAATTAGGTAGATCCAGCTTTAGCTGAACACTGGATTGAATTTGACCCTCATTACTAGTTAAGAGGTCCTGATGATGAGAGCTTGCCTGCACGGTCCCCAAATCCTGGCGCTAAACTCGTTTTCATTTGAATGCTAAAGATGCGAAAATGATAGTGGCAAACCTGTCACTGTAAGGTCGTTGATTTGGCAATTGTCGCAAATGAGGATATACTTCACTGACACCACTTCGGGCACAGTGGGCATGAACACAACCTGTAAGAGAAGTTTCTGCATCGTGAAAAGAACAATGCTCCCGCAGGCTACGCTACAAATGGACATGAATGTTGTGCTAAGTTACAGCTTCATCATTGCCTTCCAAAAGAATCTTGGGAAGTGTTGCACAATGAGGGGACTGCTGATAATTCTCCAAAATATCTCAATGATGTCTAAAACCTAAGAGAGTTCAAACACAGACCAGCAATCCACAGAGAACAAAATACAGTGGTACCTTGGTACTCGAACAGCTTGGCTCCTGAACAAATCGGCTCCTGAACGCCACAAACCTGGAAGTGAGTGTTCCAGTTTGCGAACATTTTTTTGGAAGCTGAACGTCCGACGTGGCTACTGCGGCTGCCAATTGAGTGCAGGAAGCTCCTGCAGCCAATCGGAAGCCACGCCTTGGTTTTTGAACCATTTCGGGAGTCGAACAGACTCCCGGAATGGATTAAGTTTGAGAACCAAGGTACCACTGTATAAAGCAACAAGCGGCAACAAACACCTCTTTTTAATGTTACATCTGTCTTCAAGCTCAGTGGAGAAGACAGATTCGCATCACAAGCAAAACACTGACTCTGATCGCCATATCATTCTAAATCTGTCCTCAGTGTCACAACAACCCAATCTTATGTATCAGAGGTAGTCCAAGTGGTAGTTTAGGTGAGGGACCACTATGCCCATCAGGCCCAGCAAGCAAGCCCATGGGAAAGGATGATTTATTTAGTTGGCATATTTGTTACCAGCCCATCGCTAAAGATCCTAGGGCAGGTTACGGAACAGGAAAAACTATAAAACACAGCAATCACTGATACAATCACATGCAGAAAGCAAGCAATCATTGCAGAATCCCATGTCTGAAGTCTGCCTTTGTGTGTTTTCTGATCATCCCCAGTACTGGGGCTGGGAATCTGTCGCAGAGAAGGGAGCGCCAGTATTTGGGGGCCACCACAGAAAAGGTCACAAGAGGGAAGAAAACAACAGGGGCTGGAGTCCAGCAACATCTGGAGGGCATTATGTTGCCACCCCTGCTTTCACTTTTTCTCAAATGAATGAACCACCCACTGAATCCTGCTTCGGATTTCCTATTAACTGTGCATCTATTTTGAGTGTATGCTTGAATTGTGAGCTAGAGCACCAACAACTGACCTCAATTAGAGTAGACTGGCCTGGAGCTAGCTCAAAAACGGCAGGTCGGATCCCGAATGGCTCTTGCTCCACGTAACCTAAAGTGGCAACGGCCTTCATAGAAGAAAAGAGAATGGTCACTGCATGGCTGTATGCTTTCTGTGCTGCAACCGAACGTTCCAGATGGGATTGAGGGCATGGCAGTGGGGGCGGGACTTCCTATTCTTACTTACCCGGAAGTGAGGAGGTGGCCAGATATGCTTTGGCATTATGCAGAACTTCCCAATGCTGGACCCTTCATTTTTGCACAGGAATTCTGTAAATTTCACTCCGCCCACAAGGCAAGGTCCGCAGTCCAAAATGTGAGGCACTATAGCAAAAGAAGAAAAGGGAGGGGGGGGGAGCAAGAGCAGGAAAGGGGCTTAAAAAAAAAAGCACTCTCAGTCCAGGACAATACATTCTATTATGTCTAGAGGTAGCAGTTGGGGATGGGGGTTCACTGTGTTCTGCAGTTGGCATGGTGTGAAATTCTTCTTCTTCTTCTCCTTCTCCATTAAATTTATATACCACCCTTCATCCGAGAATGGAGCTAGAAGGACCAATGGTCTAATTGGTCCAAGACACCTTTCTATGCTCCCAATTCCATTGTTTTCCAGCTTCCACTCCACAGCATCAGCTGCTGAGAAATGGGAGGCTGAACGGGATGGACCTATGACATCCTAAGAACGTCCCAGAAGCTCACATACTTGCCCCACAAATAGCCAGTCCTTTTTTTAAAAAAAAGAAAACTCACACGTTAAGATGGGAGGTGGCCTTCGGCCTTCCAAAGGGACCAGCAGCGGGTAGGTTGTTTGCGACTCTACTAGTATGTAATCCTTGTAATCTGACAGGTATTCTGGAATAAACTGGACCACGTAGTAGCAACTCATTCCGGGGGCGACAAGTCCTCCTTCGCCTGGAAAGTGTCCTAGAGAAGGAGCACGGGCGTCCTTTGAAAAATTCGTTATCACAGATGCAACTGGTGCCGCAAGCAGGTTGCAAAAGAATTCTGCCCTGAGCACATTGTTGCTGATAATAAGATAGTGCCAGCAATGTGAAAAGGCAATTTTGAGAGTACTACAGGACAGGTTGCTGCCCCACTGAGCAACCAGTCTAAATTCACCGCAAATGAGAAACCAGGAGAGGAGCGATAAACAAAAAAGCTGAACAAATTGCATTTTGACCCACAGTGCTTTGGCCTCTCTGAATTGCTATCCTGTGCTCCTGCACTCACAATGCCTATTTCTATGCCTCTCCATTTAAATTGTCGTTAATTCTATCATCCTCACCCCTGGAGCATTCCAATCCAGGTCCTCCTCTGCTCCTGAACTGCCTGATTATACACGTTTATTGGAAATAACTGATTTCAATAGGTTTTCTCCTAGGTTTGCAACTTTAGGATTACACTTCCATCGTAAGATTTTCATAGGAATTTGGCAACCAGCACTGCCTTGGCACCTACATGCAGGTCCTGCTTTCTGAACGCTCCCAGGAAATTGTTTATTAGGCAAACATTTGCATAATGAGCTGGTGGTTTCCATTATTTCCAATGGGAGCATTTCTCATTCATAATTGCCTGTTCTCCCTCCCTCCCTGCCTGATTTCTGCTCAAAACTGCTGCAGCCACTCAGCAAAAACCAAACAAAGGAACAAGTGATTTTTAAAAGGCAATGGTAAAGGACCCCTGGACGGTTAAGTCCAGTCAAAGGCGACTATGGGGTTGCGACGCTCATCTTGCTTTCAGGCCGAGGGAGCCGGCGTTTGTCCACAGTTAGTTTTCTGGGTCATGTGGCTAGCATGACTAAACAGCTACTGGCGCACGGAGGACCGTGACAAGTGCCAGAGCGCACGGAAATGCCGTTTACCTTCCCACCGGAGCAGTACCTATTTATCTACTCACACTGGCATGCTTTTGAACTGCTAGGTTGGCAGGAACTGGGACCGAGCAACAGGAGCTCACCCCATCGTGGGGATTCAAACCGCTGACCTTCTGATCAGCAAGCCCAAGAGGCTCAGTGGTTTAGACCACAGCGCCACCCACGTCCCACTAACAAGTGATTTCTCTGACTTTCCTCCATGCTTTTTGCCAGAAATGGCTGCAACCGACCAGCAAAACACAAACAAGTAAGGAAGTAGTGGGCAAACTCTGGTTGTTTGGATATCTGAATTAGCTATTCCTGTAGCGAAGTCTGGGTATAATTCTTTGTACTTGGATAACTGATATTTCTGATAATGAGCCTCTCAAAGTGGGACCTTGGTGCCCTGAGCTTGTCCAAATGACAGCCAAATTATGTCCGTGACTAATTTAAAATATGGGGATCAGCAGCATGGCTCACGCAATATTTGCAATTCTCAGGACAAGTGTTTTCCTGTTCTTTCAGGAAATGAAGCAAATTTCTAGCCATCAGGGGGCATTTTAAAAGTGCCAGTTTCTGCAGAAAAACAACCAACAAGTAAACTTGCATCCCTGAACCTCACCCAGCCCAATGGAAAAGGCATCGGTAGCTGGAGGAATTATTCTAAGACACTGAGACGTTGAAGTCATGTTCTGTAACTCTACAGTCATCTGCAAAGAGAGAAAGGTCAAAAAATATGGCAGCATATATACATCCTGTGAGGCATTTCTAGCCTTTGGAAATGATGCTATTATTATTCCAGGCAATAAAATGAATAAATAATAGTAATTGTAACTGCCCCTGAAGGTTTTCCTAAACATGGTGGAACTGGGCATTATTCAATCAACAAAGAATTGTTCCCACTATTTCCAGAGTTTGGGCTGTAAGTGATGTTCCTGATATGGTAAAAACGGCATCACCCCCCGCACAAGACGCAAAGTATCAGCAGGTGTGGGGTAACCCAAAGGTTGCATAAGTTCATACACGCTTTAGAAAGAAAAAGATGAAGGGAGGAAGGACCAATCAACAATGCCATGACTACTAAGTGTGCTCAGTTTCCACTCAATGTTGACTAACTGTTTCTGGAACTAACTGTTTCCTGGAGGAAAGGGTGAACAGAACAGAGTGGCTGGAATCCCAAACTCCACACTGCAACATTTTGTTGCAGGTTCCACATTTTGTGAAACGTTTAATAGAAAATGGAAGCTTATTATTGAGGCTCCAACACACAAGAGTGGGAAGAGTTACATGCAGAGCCTTAAGAGGCAAAGGAAATAACAGAGACCTTAAACTTTGCTGTGAATCAGCTGCTTTTTGCTGGCTGAGAGAATGGCTGCCTCTTGAAAACACTGAAGTGTTGGATAATGGCAGATGAAGTTGATGGACTATATGGAATTGGTGGAAATGACTGGCAGAATCCGAGACCAGGGAGAAGAGTCGGTGGAAGAAGACTGGAAAAAGTTTAAAGACTATTCACAGAAATACTGTAAAATTAATGAATGTTAGAAGAATGTTGGAATGAAGTGATATGGCTTTAGTAGAAATGTTTTAAGGAATTAAGTATAAATAGATTAATAGAATATTAAAGGAAAAAATAAGGCTAGAATGTGTTAAGATAATTATAGGATAGAAAACAGAGGAAGATGGAAAGGAATTGCTGAAACAATTAACAGAAGTGGAATACAAAAAGGGAGGTGTGAGGAGGTCGTTGAAATAAGTGAATGAAAGATAAGATATTGAAAATGTTTGAGGTGTTTTAAATTGTTTTTGTTTGTTTTTGTTTTGTTTTGTTAGTTTAATGTGTTAGTGTTATGTAGTGTTTCTGTATTGTATTGTATTGTTCTTTTTTTTGTAGTGTTTAAATGGTTGGAAAAGTAATAAATATTATTAAAAAAAAGAAAAGGAAATAACAGAGACTGGGGATTGGGGGAGGGGGAGAGATAGAGAGAATTAGCACTTTTGCAGAGCAAAACTCATGTCCTGCACAGCGAGAAGCTCTTACCTCATAAACCTGCCCAACTTCATAATAAGAAAACACAACAGCCGGTGGGTTTGCTAGAAAGACAGGCACAGACTGGGAGTCGCTGAAATGAAATGAGACAATAAGAAAAACCAGGGAGTGATTACAGCCTGCACATAGCAGGTAAGAACAGTGGTGGCGCCAATTCCTTTTCTTTGAGAGGCATGGAGCTGCAAAGTCCTTTCCATCACACCCAGAACAGATGCCGGTTCGACAACAGCTGTATTCACTGTCCACGAAGGTGTTAAAAACTACAGCAAACTATCTCCTTAGTTGGTTTGGGAGGGGTCACCCTTGGTTCTGGTGCAGGTGAAATAAATGCAGGCAAATAAACTGTAGAAGCCTGGCTGAAAAGATTAAAGCCTGCTGCCATTACATGGAGACGGATTAAAGAAAAGAAAATACGAATTGACTCCACCCTGTAGCTTGACCCATTGCAGCTAGGAACTACCGTATTTTTCGCACCATAGGGCGCACCGGACCATAGGGCGCACCCAGTTTTTTGGGGGGGAAATAAAGGGGGGGGAATTATTTCCCCCCCAGGTGCAGGGCTGGGGCGGGGGAAGCTCGAGCTTCCCCCGACCCCAGCCCCCAAACAGGCAGCTCTCTGCAAGCCGTGGGAGCGCTCCCGCTGCTTGCGGAGAGGTCCGCGAAGCCTGGACGCACTGAGCTGAGCGAGCACAGGCTTCAGCATGCAGGCAAGTCTCTGCAAGCAGTGGGAGCCCAGTGCTGGGCTCCCGCTGCTTGCGGAGAGGTGTGCGAAGCCTGGAGAGCGTGAGGGGTCAGTGCGCACCGACCCCTCTCACTCTCCAGGCTTCAGCGAAAGCCTGCATTCGCACCATAGGACGCACACACATTTCCCCTTCATTTTTGGAGGGGAAAAAGTGTGTCCTATGGTGCGAAAAATACGGTAGTTGGAGTCATAGAACTTTTTTTTTAAAAAAGTGGAGACTTGCACACACTGGCCAGTTTCAGTTTTGTCCTGAAATGTTTGTTTTGGGCTTCTCAGAAGTATGTAAAGGCAAGAAGCTCCAGCCCACAATGGCAACCACCTGAGAGGTGTCGGAACTGTGCTCTGGCACACTCCAGCTGACAAGAAGCACTGGCTAAGCCCCTTGACACATGGGCACAGATAAAATTCTACTGTATATAATGGAAGGCAAAGTAAAAGTGAGGCAGGCACACAAGTGTCATTTTCCGCAGCAGGCCTGTGTTGTGCGTCACATTCAGCCCTCAACTGCAAACTCAGCCCTCGAGAGCAAATGATTTATCCCCCAAGCCTCCACCTGCAACACAACGACGATAACATTACCTGACATTACCCGAACTGTTTAAGAGCTGTAGGGGGAATGAAGACGATGGCTTTGAATGCTTGAAAGGGTGATGTAAATGCTCAGTATAATTATCGCTGTTGGGAATGCTTTGATTTGTTTTTATCTGTTCTGAAAGGAAAAGCACAGTTACCTTTCCACCGTGGTCCTTTTCCTTCCTGCGATCATTCGCTGCACCTTCTTCTGAGGCAAGATCAAGGACTTGCCGCCACAAAGAGAGTTAGGCGGGAAAAAGCGGGGGTTCTTCAGGAAGTTGTGGCGGTCCTCCAGCCTCTGGAGGTAAGCGCGGTCTTTTTGTCTTTGGGGTCGGGACATGTCATTCTTCCAAGCTGATTTTTGCGAGGGACGATCCTTCTTCTGGCAGCAGGCGTGAGGGAAAAGAAAAAACCCGCTTTCAGATACAGGTTTACGATGGATTCGCTCACATTCATTAAGACTGATCATAAACACCCCAAATCACAACATACCGTATTTTTTGCTCTATAAGACTCACTTTTTCCCTCCTAAAAAGTAAGGGGAAATCTGTGTACATCTTATGGAGCGAGTGCAGGCTGTGAAGCTATCCCAGAAGCCAGAACGGCAAGAGGGATTGCTGCTTTCACTGCGCAGCAATCCCTCTTGCTGTTCTGGCTTCTGAGATTCAGAATATTTTTTCCCTTGTTTTCCTCCTTCAAAAACTAGGTGCGTCTTGTGGTCTGGTGCGTCTTACAGAGTGAAAAATACAATATATGCTGACCTCATTTTGCAGAGGGAAGCACAGCATTCCCTGTCAGAAAGAGGAAGATCACTACTTTTGCTTTAGACGTTTACACCCAACAGAACAAGTCTCTGGTGCTCATGAATGCCAAGAAAGACATGGAAATGGAACGGACAGGAAGTTTCTGGTAAAAGCTGTAATCCTACGAGTACTCTTCAATCCATAGAACTGAACGGGACATATTGTGAAGACATGCATAGGATCAAGTTCCAGAGTTTATAGTTGGGGTTGGGTAGGGCTCGAGTTCAGCCGGTTGGCTCTTTGAATCCCAGAACCTCTTCTCCCTGACTGATCACTCCGGTTCTTATAAATCTTATAAACCTATTGCTTCTAAACATTCTATGTATATTCCATTATATGCATCAGTTCTACAATCCATTTAATCAGGGACCATTATATTATTATTATTATTATTATTATTATTATTATTATTTTATTAAAAATTGTATACTGCAATGTATCCATATAGATACATATAGACAGTTCACAACCACTTAATATCCCAAATCAAAATAGAGGTTTTTTTTTAAAGTAAACAACTGTTTAGATTATATAACTTATACACATATTTATCTAATTAGCAGAACTATGCCCCTTATGGTTACAGAATTTGCTTTTCCTGCTACAAATATCTGTTACACTTGCAATATTAAAAGAAAGAGACCCTTGTCCCACTGGCTACATACTTTTACTTCAGCTACAAAAGCTGAGGCCAGAGAAAATCTTGGCTGTGAGTCCTGGAAGACCTGCTCCTTGCCTTACAGGCCTTTTCCCACCTGGCCTGGGAGGGCGAGGCCAGGACTGACTCCAGCTGCAGAAGCTGAAGCTGCTGAACAGACACTTAGGCTGGGGTACTGTTTTAGGGGGGTTTGTTGCAGGGGGGTTGTTGCAGTTATTGAGATTTTATTAAAATCTTTATTTCAGACCTTATTGTGATTTGTGTGGAAATTGTTTGAGTTTGGTTGCGTACTTTTTGATGTTTAATTTATTGTTCATGATTATTGTAATTATGTAATTTTTTCATGTTGTAAGCCGCCATGAGCACAGTTTCAACTATGAAAAGGCAGCATACAAATAAACTGATGTATACACAAAATTCAAATAAAACACTGCTCTTTCCTGTTGTTCTGAAACTAGATAGAAAACGGCAGGTGGAAACAGTTTTAAAAGTCAAGACAAATAAGGAAGAAACAAACAGGACAGAAAGAACTCTGACAGGATGGAAGACTGGGGCTGTTTAAGGAGCCTTTAGTGGTGGTGGCGGGGGAGAGATACAAAAATGAGGGTGAGGTTTTCAGCTTGTCTACATGTGCAATAAGGCAATGAAATACATACACATACCTTAGAAAGTGTTTTCTTCAATTTCTCCGGAATAGCAGAAGGTGAAGACTCAAACGTAATGCTGGATAATGATACTTCTGGTAGATTTTCCAGAATCTTGTTAACACGCTGGCTTTCCCCAACTCCAGGAGAATTCGGTTTGTTAGAAATATGCTGCTTGAAGCTAAGTATCTCTTGCAAGTAGCCAGGTTCCGATGAATCTGCAATTAAAAGGGAAGGTCTGAAAGCACTGAAAAGAGACAGTGGTCTGGTCAACCCTTTTCTTGCAAATTCCACTGTGATTTGGAAGACCCTTCCAGGTCATGCCTCTTCATTTTTCACCACAAAGAGGGCTAGCTCAGACTTGTAAAATGTGATTGCTCTCCAAATGGCCAGTTCTGGCTTTCTGCAGGGCAGCCAAGGAATATTGCATAGGAAATACTAAACTAGTACCCATGTACTATTTTGTGACCCTTTTTATTTTTTATTTTTTGGTTCTTCAGGTGGGGAGCTGAGTGCTCCCTTAAAAACCCCGAAAGTTTTAAAAGCAGCCAACACTACATTTGGAGCTTAGATACCTAAAAGGCCATCTCCAGTCATATGTACCTGCCCACAATATTTAGAGAGAGTCTTGATGTGTCAGATAGGGCCTTCTTGGTGGTGGCATCTAAGCCTCAGAACTATCTGTTGCAAACCTGATGTGTCTTTGTGTCTCTAGGCGGCAGCTGAAAACCATTATATCTAGATGTGCTTGTCAGCATGGTGTTCAGCCTGTTTATTATTACTGCAGCTGTTCATTCTTGGGCTTTTCATCTTAGCCCACTCACTGTTGATTTATAATGGTTATTACTTGCCTTGAGGGTCTAATTTCTGGATAAAAAGGCAGGGAATACTTTAATTAATAAATAAGGACACAGAGCATGCATTTCCCCCTCCCTTTGTCAGCATGCCCCATCAAGCACCTAGAAGGTTAAAAAATGCAAATAAAAATTTGAGCACATTCTTCTTAAGGGGAAAAAAAGAGTTTTGAACCTGGCCATTTCTCTCCTCTCTGGCCCAAGATATACCCTGAGTGTAGATAACTATATAGATACGTTCAGATAGATATAGATAGGTTACAGCTAAAGCTTTGCAGCAAGGCGGCACCACTCAGGGTTGTGGGTTCAGGTCTCACATTGGGCAAAAGAATCTCAGGATCATGAATGGACAGAAGATTCCTGCATTGCAAGGGGTTGGACTACATGATCCTCGTGGTCTCTTCCAACTCTACCATTCTATTATCTTGCTCTCCATCACAGGCATAGAACGGCCTCTCTCCTCAAGGAAATTTGAAAACTCAATGAGCGGAGGTTGAGATTCCTAAGAATTATCAACACCCTCAGCAAACCACAATTCCCAGGATTCTTTGGGCAACAGTAAAACAGCTATAAAATGGATATAGGTTAATATAATATAACTTGAGAGGGGCAACGTCACACAAGTCACTCTGTGATGCTTGGAGGGAACAGGGAAGTACAAACAGAAATCTCAAACAGTGTAGTTATTTCATGTGATTCCTAAATCATATTCTTGGCAAGCTGTATTAGCCTCGCTTGGAAAGCTTACCTTTAGGTGCTCGGGAAATTATTTCTGGGTCCATGATATAATCTTCAGGGCAGATTAAATTATGGTCTTTAAGAAGCTTGCTATCCACACACCATCTGAAGGTAGATCTCACTATGGCATGCACATTTAAAGAGAGGTTAATGTTAGAGAAAAGACAGGAGTCCATCAGACAGTTGTTTATCGTTTACAGTGACCATTTCAATATAACTCACACGAACACACACACACAAAAAGGACTATCAATCCAGGAAGACGTTAATACAGTGGTACCTCGCAAGACGAATGCCTCGCAAGACAAAAAACTCGCTAGATGAAAGGGTTTTTTGTTTTTTGAGCTGCTTCGCAAGACGATTTCCCCATGGGCTTGCTTCGCAAGACGGAAACGTCTTGCAAGTTTGTTTCCTTTTTCTTAACACCGTTAATACAGTTGCGACTTGACTTCGAGGAGCAACTCATAGAACGCGGTGTGGTAGCCTTTTTTGAGGTTTTTAAAGACTTTGGTGATTTTTGAAGCTTTTCCAAAACTTTCCCGACACCGTGCTTCGCAAGATGAAAAAAATCGCAAGACGACAAAAAACGCAATAAATACAAATATTAAAAAACAAGTAAGCAATCCTATTAAAAATAGCACCGAAAATACTTAAAACCACTGGAGGTTTTTAAGCAGAGGTTGAATGGCCATCTGTCATGGATGCTCTAGTTGAGATTCCTGCATTTCAGGGGGTTGGACTGGATGACCCCGGTGTCCCTTCCAACTCTATGATTCTAAAAGCACACAACCCCTGACCCTTAGAAGTCCCTGCCACAACAGCCAGTTAATGGCCAAAGGCCTGCCAGAGACAAAAAAATGTCTTTGCTTTCTGGAGAATGCAAAGCCAAGAAGGTTCCAGCCTAGCCTCCCAGGGAAGGGATTTCTATAACCGGAAACAGTCACCAAGAATAATAATAATAATAATAATAATAAATTTTATTTATATCCCGCCCTCCCCAGCCGAAGCCGGGCTCAGGGCGGCTAACAACAATAAAACAGTACAAAAGTAAAGCATAAACAACACTCTAAAATCATTCATTATAAAATTAATTAATTCAAGCCACTGGCAACCATTGGGCCAGGGTCCGCGAAGATTGACGAGGGAGGGAGTCAGGCTGTGCCCTGGCCAAAGGCCTGGTGGAACAGCTCTGTCTTGCAGGCCCTGCGGAAAGATGTCAAGTCCCGCAGGGCCCTGGTCTCTTGTGACAGAGTGTTCCACCAGATCGGAGCCACAGCCAAAAAAGCCCTGGCTCTAGTTGAGGCCAGCATAACTTTTCTGTGGCCTGGGACCTTCAAGATGTTTTTATTTGAAGACCGTAAGTTTCTCTGTGGGGCATACCAGGAGAGGCGGCCCCGTAGGTACGAGGGTCCTAGGCCGTATAGGGCTTTAAAGGTTAAAACCAACACCTTAAACCTGATCCTGTACTCCACCGGGAGCCAGTGCAGCTGGTATAGCACCGGGTGAATGTGATCTCGCAGCGAAGACCTCGTAAGGAGTCTCGCTGCAGCATTCTGCACCCGCTGGAGTTTCTGGGTCAGTCTCAAGGGCAGCCCCACGTAGAGCGAGTTACAATAATCCAGTCTGGAGGTGACCGTCGCGTGGATCACAGTGGCTAGGTCAGGGTGAGAGAGGTAAAGAAAGAAGGCTTTCTCTTGTGCTCTCACCAGAGATGCCTGTGGAGGTGGCAGGACCAAGGCAAAGGCCTCCCTAGAAGATCTCAAACTGTCACTTCCCTTACCTGGTGGCATTTTAATATGAGAGTAGTTCTCTGGAACCTCCATTTGACATAAGTTCACAATCCTTTCCTCTTCCGCTGCGGCTCGGGCCCTTGCCTGGATGATGTGCCTTTCTAGCATGTCTGCTTCCGTCAGCCGGCCATTATATTCCTTGTGGACCTGAAGCGGCAACCAGATAATTGCTGATTTACTAATGTAAAGCAGCCTTCCTCTGCCCAGTGGCATTACAGATGTATCGGGCTACAGCTCCCATCAACCTCAGCCAGCACAGCCTGATGGGAACTGTAGTCCAAAATGTTTGGAGAACTGCAGAAGGTGGGCATAAACCTTCAACAGGTTCCCAGAGGCATCTGTAAAGCAATCAAAGCATTTTTTAAAAAATTGCGCTCAATCGTAATTTGCCTTGATGGAGGCAATAGAGGCAAATGCCTGTTGTACAAAATTGGTGGCAGTGGGTGGATGGGAAGAGCTTTGCAATGTTCATGTAAGTCTGCACCAACAGCCAATCTGAAGAAGAAAAGATTACTGAGTGTGTGCATGTGCAGAGGCTTGTTATTTCTTCTTCTTTTTTAAATGAGGCTTGTTAAATTATGATCAAAGTGGAAAGAGGGAATCGCAAGACATTACTCTTTCATTACTAGCATTCAGGCCCTTTTCAATTCGGAAACAGACCGAGAGCAAACAGAAATAAGTGCTATGCACCAAACATTTAACCTGTGGGACTTATTGCCACAAGATGATCTCACAGCCACTAGCTTCAACAGCTTTTTAAAAGGGTTAATGGAGGATAGGTCCATGAAAGAACATGATAGGTATAGACTGTGAGGGGAATGAGACTTTATGCAGACAACTAGGCAGTGGCTTTTTCCGCCTGCCTTGCCCCACCCTCCAGCCCTAGCAGCCTTCAGAATGGAGTTGCTGCCAAAAGCATTATTACGTGTGTCTTTTGATGAACTGAGGGGAAATTTAAGAGTCATGGGGGTGGAGTATATGTCTGTCTGTGTGTTCCACAGTGTTGCTAGGTTTGTTTTCAGTTGTTAGTTTGTTAATGATGTTAATACAGTGGTACCTCTGGTTACAAACTTAATTCATTCCAGAGGTCTGTTCTTAAGCTGAAACCATTCTTATCCTGAGGCGCGCTTTCACTAATGGGGCCTCAGCGTGCGATTTCTGTTTACATCCCGGGGCAAAGTTCGCAACCAGGAGCAGCTACGTCTGGGTTAGTGGAGTTCGTAACCCGAAGCATGCATAACCAGAGGTGTTTGTAAACAGAGATACCACTGTATTGTTTTTGTGGATTATGAGTGCTGTAACACTTTGTGGATATGACTTTCGTCGTAGCTGCGCTGTTTAGCTTATTTTTTAAGTTGTTTTGTTAATAGTGTTTTATAGAAGGTGGTTGTTTTACTGGCGATTTGTTAATTATTCCGTATGATTTATGCTGTGATGTCCTAGTACATTGTCTTTTATTGTTTGTAAGCCTCTTCGTGGCATAGAAATTCAATAGATGAAATGAAAGGAATAGACTGAAGCTCCATTTCAAGAGGCAGTGAGTGCCCTTTGCTCAGAGCAAACTCAAATATGAGTTTCCTTCCAAGGTACTGAGTTTTTGCTGCCAGCTAAAGATCCATTCTGCCACCATAGCTCAGTGGCAAAGCATCTTTGCTTGCAGAATTCACTGGTTCAATCCCCGGCATCTCCAGCTAGGGCTGGGAAAGAGCCTTGCTTTGTGGCTGAGTGAGGCTTTTGTTTATCACTTTTATATCCATCCTTTCTTCCAAGGAGCTCCAGTCAGAGTACATGATTCCCCTCCATTTTATCTTCACAAGATAAGGTAGGTCAGGTGTGATGAAAGTAATAAATAATATTGGTAATAAATATTGGTAAAAGTAATAAATAAATATATATATACACACACACACACACACACACACATATATATATATATATATAGGGACGCAGGTGGCGCTGTGAGTTAAACCACAGAGCCTAGGACTTGCCAATCAGAAGGTCGGCGGTTCGAATCCCCGTGACGGGGTGAGCTCCTGTTGCTCAGTCCCTGCTCCTGCCAACCTAGCAGTTCGAAAGCACGTCAAAGTGCAAGTAGATAAATAGGTACCGCTCCGGCGAGAAGGTAAACGGTGTTTCCATGAGATAATCTGGTTCACCAGAAGCGACTTAGTCATGCTGGCCACATGACCCGGAAGCTATACGCCGGCTCCCTCGGCCAATAAAGCGAGATGAGCGTCGCAACCCCAGAGTCGGTCACGAATGGACCTAATGGTCAGGGGCCCCTTTACCTTTATATATTTCTTCAAGATACTTCCATTTTGAACAGGCACAAAACAACCCATTTTCCTGGTTCAAATCATAGCACCGAGTCTACAGGACTGAATGGAGAGATTACCTTTTGCAACTCTTTCACAAACTGCTCATGGTGGGAATTGTCTCCACCACGAGATTTGATCATATTTTCGACTGTGTTCGCTGATATGAACTCTGAAGTATACATCTGCTTAAAGACACTTGCCAGCAGATGGGAAATGTCCTACAGAGAAAGAAAATGAAGATTATTTTTTTAAAGCTTTGGAGACTGGATGTGATTTTGAGAATATCTCAGAAGGGTCCCAGAGTGAGGAGGACTAGGCATTTAAATAAAATGTAATAAAAATGGGGAAATAATTACTAAAGACTTTATCTCATCACCATAATATCAGCTGACTCAGAAGAGGTTAACCCAAAGGCCAAACAATACCATAGCCTGCAATGATAACCTTGATAAACGGGATGTATAGCAAACTTCCATTAAAAGTTGAGATTCAGCTAAAAACAACTGTTTGGAGGGTCAATGTGGAATTTAAAAATTGCTGGATGGAATGAAAAAGTTTATTTAGGTACAGTATATGTTTAAACCATTTCATTTTATTTTAAAATCCAAAGCAGTGCACAAAATTTAAAAAACAACATGCAATACATAAAACAACATAAAGCTTCGTATCAAAATCTGCTGCAAACCAAACAGCTCCAAAAGTACTCTAACATTGTTTACTCTGGAAAGCAGGTGTCAGTAATGATTTTCAGATTGAAGACATTTTTGTTTACACAAGGCTTTTCACCTGCAAATACACCAGAATAAAAAAGCGCAAGGGATAACCCTTCCCCGCCCTCAAAATTAAATCTCGGCTGTGTTACGGAAGGAAAGGCACTCTGCACATCCTCAGAGAAGCTCTAGTCTGTGTGTAAGTGTGTGTGTCCAGGCGCAACCTTTTAAACACATGCCTATGCATATAAGGGACGTTTTTCCACTCCACCCTCAAAAATCAATCAAATTTTGGATATGCTGTGGATAAGAGCGAGAAAGAAAGGCACTCTGCACGCGCTCAGAGAAGGAGTCTGAATTGCATGCGAAGCTCCCTGCAGAAACCCAACATCAGTGGCGCTGTGGGTGAGAGCGAGAAAGAAAGGCGCTCTGCACATGCTCAGAGAAGCTCCAGTCTGTGTGTATGCGTGTGTCCAGGTGCAATCTTTTAAAAACACGCCTATGCAGCAGAGTAAACATGCATATAAGGGACGTTTTTCCACTCCACCCTCAAAATCAATTTTTTGGATATGCTGTGGGTGAGAGCGAAAAAGAAAGGAGCTCTGCACATGCTCAGAGAAGCCTCTGCACACCTTCCCCCCCCCCATGCAAGCGCAGTCCAAACTTCCTCCCCGCCCTCAAAAAACCCAAACTCCTCAGATATGAGAATGAAGGGCTCTCTGCACGTGCCCAGAGAAGCTCTAGCCTATGACGCGCGAGTTTTGTCGAAGGGGCTCGGAAGGGACCCCCGAGGGTCATCCAGCCGAGCCCCTCTGCAATGCCGGAAACTTCTGACCCAACGAGGGGTCTCGAACCCACGACTCACCTGAGTCAGCTCCGAGGCCGGCCTGTGCCTGCCCATGGAGGGCTCGGGGCTCTGGCGAGCCATGGCGCCTCCCGCTGCCGCCGCCCGGCGAAGCTTCTCCCCGTTGCTAAGGGCCCGCTTCCCTCGGCCCTTAGCAACGGCGGCTTCCGGCCTCACTTCCGCCTCTGCCTCCTCCCCCTCCCACCCAGAGAGGGGCGTGGCCGAGCAGGCTCCCCAACGTTCTCTCCCGGAGTCCGCGTTTGTTCCTCTGCAGCGGGGGTGCCTCTGAGCATGGGCAGAGTGCCTTTCGTCTCCCCGCTGCACCGCCCTCCGCGGTTTTATCTTAAACGGTTCAGCCCAGCGCTTTGCAATGAATACTCAGCCCGGATCTGATCTAGGGGGCTTCCTCCCCTAGGTGAATGTGCACGGGGCTGTGCGCTTCTCTTTTTCATTTTTAGGCTGAGGAGCAGAGGGTGGGTGGCGAGAAGGGAAAGAATTAGCCGCCCCTATGAGCCTTTCAGTGCACACAAGGAGGATATATAGTCCAAAAATTGGAAGGGAACCCTGAGGGTCGTCCAGTCCAACCCTTGCGACACAAGAATATCAACACACCTTTTGTAATCCTCATAGAACTCTAGCCCAATGGTTGCCATTAATTGGACTCTGAATTGATTTTAGAATGTATTTCAATTAAATGATTATGATTTTATGTAAACTGTGTTATTTTTACTGTTGCTAGCCGCTCTGAGCCCGGTTTCAGCTGGGGAGGGCGGGATATAAATAATAATAATATTAATAATTATTATTATTGTTAACACTCAGTCCCACATTCAGTTTGAAACCATACCAGACCTTGCTTAGCTTTGCAAATGTGGTAGCAGTTATATGTATCGGTATATGTGTGTGTGTGTGAAATTTCATAAAATATATATACCACTTGATTGTAGGAAAAAACCCTCAGAGATCATGCCCTTTGTTTATTTTGATTTAATTTTAAATGCAAGTGCAAGGTCCTCAATCCAGAACAAATCTGGTCCCTGTGCCTACTGCTCTGAGCTGTTAAATGCCAGTTCCATCACTGAAATCACCCACAGAAGCTTCTTTGGTTGTACCCTAAGTTGGCATAGCTGATGTGACGGTCATCACAAAACTGAACTTTCAATGTCATGTCTTGTGGCATGTTCTCCCGATGGAAATCCAGTAGGCGTTTTTGTATTAATTTTAAGTGTTTTTTTTAAAAACAACAACAAATGTTTGCTGGAAACCTTTCTGTGCCACCAGGCTTATGCAAAAAAATAAAGAAAAGAAAAATCTGTTATGGTTGGCAGTGATCTGTAGCTTGTATTGTACGCACACATTGTACATTGCTTTGATATGTTTTAGGAAACAGTGGCATGCATTTTTTAAAAAATAAACAGTGCAATTGCAACATGGGCTGCCGCTGCAATTCAGGGGTCGGCAAACTTTTTCAGCACTGTCCCTCAGAACTTGTGGGGGGGCAGACAATATTTTTGGGGGGAAATGAACAAATTCCTATGCCCCACAAATAACCCAGAGATGCATTTTAAATAAAAGGGCACATTCTGCTCATGTAAAAACATGCTGATTCCCAGACCCGTGGGCCGGATTGAGAAGGCGATTGGGCCGGATCCGGCCCTGGGGCCTTAGTTTGCCTACCCATGCAATAAAGCATTGCTCATCACTCAGCAGCTGTGCAGCTGGAAATTCATGCCTCCACCTCCTCAGTTCCCTGTGCTTGCACATAGTGTTGCAGAGAATAAGATACAGTACTCAGGGGTCCCTAGAATTTGATTCCCTTGTTTGAGTTTGCTAGGACTTTACACTATCCAGCCAGTTATTTGGTTGTGGGCTTAATATAACAACAACCACCTTGCAATTTTACTATTGAAAAGCAATCGGTCCTGATTAATGCACAGACGCACCAACTAAACTGCTTTTTAATCATCCATTCCATTGGTCCAATAAAACCCAAGGGAGCACATTGTTTCGTCATCTGAAAGGAATGTCACTGTTCAGGATCCTGGGGGAAATTCCTCCCCAGATGATGTTCCCTGCTGGGTGAACTTCCACACACCCTTCAAGAACAAGATTGGCAACATTTCTCTAATTGCAAAGAAAACTCTTAAATGTTGCAATTTTTCACTGGCTTTCTCTGCACAAAGAGGAAAACAAGGAGGGCGATGGGAGGGAGCTAACATAATGGCTTTGATGGATGGCTTGCGACATTATCCTATTCTGCCAACCTTTGGAATGTGGCCTGCCTTCTCGAATTCCCACCCTCTCTTCCATTGCAAATCTCCAAAATTACAAAGCTGAGATCCAGGATTGTTTTTGTGTCCTTGTTTAGACACCCTCAAACCTTTGAAGTTTCAAGTCTCTAATCTGAGTGTGTTTCATGTCTATTTCTGAAGCTCTGGGTTTCTGTCTTCTTATTACTGGCAGGGCTCCTACAATTTTTCTCAGCTGCATGGCAAAAATTTGCTTGCTGGTCGTTTTTCTTTTTACCAGCTTGAAGATACAGTGAGTGAGAGATGTTGTACCTCTTTAGTAATTAAGAGCTAAGACAGCATTGATTTCAAGTCTGGTCTGGTACGGCTCAGCTGGAAATAGCACCCTGTGTCAAACTATCTGAAGAGCAATTGTAATCAACATATTACACAAGTAGGACTACAAGAAGTTTTGTAAGGAGAAATATATGAAACATTACAAAGTAGATAAAGAATAGAGATATCAGTGATGAGATTTAAATGTAATAGGGGAAAGTAAGAAATTAGATTAGATTGGAAAATTTCCAGACAGGATTGATGGAAGTCAAAAAATTGTATAAGATGTAAAAGTATGTTTCATTACTGTTGAAAATGGTACGTTAAAAAACTAATAAAAATTTATATGTATAAAAAAAGGAAATAGCACCCCGTGTCTTTCATAGGGAAGGGCGATCGACTATAGAACATCTTGGAACTGCTTGCTTGTCCAAAAAAGCAAGCGAGATAACAATTCTGTTACTGCTTTTAGAGTTTTCCACGCATGCATATAGTTTGGGACTCTCCCCCCCCCTCAGTTTGGGAACATTGCCCTTTGACCCTCTTCTCTGCTGTGTCGCTCTTTTTTGTCCCTCCCCGCCCCATGGCCTTTAAATATCCCTGTCAACACTGAAAGGCCCAACTAGCAGAGACTTTCATTCCAGCTGCCAAATGACAGGGTTGTGATGAGCAATTGGGCGGAGGCCCGGTTTGCTTTCCCCTGCACAGCTGCCAGCAGAGACGTCAGTATCAGAGGAGGGCCTTCTTTGCCTGAAAAAGAGAGACACGCTGCTGTGGCCTGGACTCCTCCTTCGGAGAACCCTTCTCTGCGCTCTGAGAAACCTATGGTGCTGCAAAAAGAGTGAGTTGCTGGACAGAAGAGACGAGGAGCCTCTCACAAGCCCCGCCAAGGCTGTGCCTGGATTGCAGAATTATTTGCAGGAACTGGTCCGCTCGGCTTGCTCGCAACATCTGGGCAACCACATCTGCCGCAGCTGCAGAAGTGCCTTTTCCGGCGAACTTTCCTAGAGAATGGAGCACAACGGCAGCCCCTTGGCCTCTCATGGTGAGTCGAGACTTGCAGTGATTTATGGCAGGCGTGCGTACGGTTGAATGCTGCTGAGAAATGCTCCCTTGCCTCTGGCTTAAGGGCTTGTAAAGTCCCCATGTGCAGCCACGCTGAATTTTTGAGTCGGCCATTGCTAGTGTGGCACGCTCCAGATGTTTCGGACTGTTCTCAACCAGCATGGTTGTTGTAGTCCAAAACACTTTTGAGGGCACCAGGTTGGCAAAGGCAGATCTGGGCGCGATGTGCTGCCTAGGCATCACGCCACTTATTGATCAGTGTTTTTGCTGCGGGAAGAAAAATAGTTGATCCCAGCGGAATATTTTATTTGTTCCCGTTTGTGGCTCTGCTTTGGAGAAATATTTATTTAAGGATAGTAAAAGAGACCGCTCCAGCTGAAACTCTTTTAAACCAACCACTTTTTAATTGCATTTTTGTCAAAGAAAAAGTAATTCTTTGTTACGGGATTGAAATAACATCTGATATTTTGTGAAGCTAGATTGCAGTTTGGTACACTGGCTCACGGCCGTTCTTTTAGTCCCCAACTCTGTATAACCTCATTCATAGGGGAAGTGTTTTTATTCTTTGTGTACTCAACATATCTTGGCATGTAATGAATGGAGACCTAAAATTAGCACTAATACAGGGTCATTGTATCTGTTTCACCGAAACCTGAGAGCTGTTTGGGATTTGGACCATCGCAACTTTGCAAATGTTGGTTAATTGCTATTACTTTTTTTTTTAAAGCAACTAATTGGAGAGTACAATTTCTGGGATAACACAATCAAAGCATTATTTACAAAGCCAAATCTGAAATTGCATTTTATGGATTGTAGGCAAATCTGTATTTGTTTGGAATGTGTAAGAACAGCACAATCAGTAGAGCACGAGACTCTTAATCTCAGGGTTGTGAGTTCGAGTCTCACATTAGGCAAAAGATTCCTGCATTGCAGGGGGTTGGACTAGATGACCCTTGTGGTCCCTTCACACGCTACAATTCTGTGTTTCTATATGAAGTTGCCTTTTGTGGTCCTGCCTCCCCAGACACTGGTGGATGAATGTGGGACCTTCTGCATGCAGAGCAAATGTTCTGGCACTGAGCTACAGCCCTTCCCAAGACGTTCTCAGTGCTAAAGTGAAGTTTTTCATTTTGTGTTTTCAAAGTTTTGACTGGCAATGGCACCAATTGACAGCCAATATTAGTCTTACTCAGAGCAGGCTGAGTCCACGGAGTAGAAAAGGCTTCCATTAAGACTTGTTATTCACCATACTTGCTCTTGTTTTTCACTTCAGGTAAATTACTTTTGTTTTTACACCGCACGCTATTATGTCATCAGCGTGCATGGTATTTTACAAAGTACAAGAAAACAGGTTTTTTCCTTGAGGGCTAGGCAGTCTGAAATTCAGTAAAAGGAGGCGGGTAAAACATCTCCACTCAAGGCCAGTTCTTTGCAATTTTGTGCCGAAGCTCCAGAGCCATCTGTCCTCCACATAAAAAACAATTGATTTAAAACGAGTTAAGCCCAATGAAGACTAAATTAAAACTCTGCTATCTGGGAGCTCTGTGACTGGCTGCCTGCCTCAGTGCCATATTGACCAGAAGTCCAGTCTAAAATTAGAATGGGGATACTAAATATTTGTGTAGCATTCCACCCCTGCACTCTGCGGCCTTTGCAAACACCAGCTTAAGCGATCCTTAAAACATTTCTGTAAGGTAGGCTTGTATAAGGTAGGCAGTCCTGTTTAG